GGGGGGGGAGGGGAGGTACGAGTATTAAATGCAATAGCCCAATGGTATTTGCTATACCATCAAACTTAATGTGTTCTACTTTATGCAGTACAAATAATGACTATTTATAAGAGTTAAGTGGATTCCAAGTGGAAGACAATCCTCGTTTTCATTCTAACCCTAACCCTAGCCGTACCTTGTTCGTTTAATCTAGCTAATGATAAATTGATACTAATTAAACAGAATAAGTGAGATTAAAGCAGTAAATTAGGTAAATACCAGGGGACTTCCTTATCAATCACTTACCACTCGTAGGAAGCCATCTTGTTTTGCTTAGACGCCGCTCCTTCCCAGGTAGGCTGGGGAACCCACGCTCCTCGCGGTCGCCCAAACATAGCAAGCTCGAGAACCTGCTAGAGGGTGTCAATGGGGTTAACCGATAGGCCTAGAACGGCCAAAAATTTAGTCGATAGCCGTAAAAATTGAAAAATTTTAACCGTTTGCCGTAAATAGGGTAAAAAAGAGTTAACCCCAAAAGAAATTGTTCCCTAGATTTGTTAATTTTAAGGAAGGTGCTAACTCACTTACGATTGCGTTTTTTATTTCCCGGCTACTTTGTCTCCGTACACGTTAGGTCAAGCGCCTTTTAGGTGTTGACCTAGACCTAGGCTCCGTTTCCGCTGCTCTCTCGGGAACTAATTTTTTTCCATAGCAAAAATCTGGCTTCTTGCCAGCTGGGGATTAATATTTGAGATTTTCAGGAGGTCGTGCCCTCGAAATACTAGTGAAACAACACGCAGAGATGTCACTGTTTGTAAAACACGTTGCCGATAAATGACAATTTCCTGTTTTTCTCTAACGATACGGTAGACATTGCCATGCCTAGTCCCTGTACGGGTAGTCTGCGAAAACCATCGTTTCTCCTGGAGCGAACGTCCTCAGCGGCGAAGAGCGGGCAGAAACGGATGTTTTCGCAGGCTACTGTTCGGCGTCTTCCCACGCAATCTCGGTCAAGGCATTTCGGTGGCGTATCTGAGAAAAAAACTCGCTCGGACCACGTGAGCGGAAACGTAATGGCCGCGCGGAATAATGAGGCCTACGGATAAGGCAACGGCAGTCAGTCGTTCTGTACAGTCCTTCGCTATCATTAAAAACACGGGAAATTTTGTTGTTGGCCGTTTTCACGCAACAGCTAGCATGTTTACAGTCGCCCTCTCGGCCCCACAGACACCCCTTCTCCGATTTCTTTTCTTAGGGGAGGGGGCGGCTGTACACAGGCTATCTGAAACGGATAACCCATCTTCAAACTGTCCGTCAAAATTGACGGCGGATTGTTCATTCAAAATAAAAGCCATTCCATTTTCAAAGGAAGACGTATTAATTACCTATCTGACTCGAATTATCAAACGGATAACCCGTCTCACATGAATAACCCGTCTCTTGTGTGAAAACAGCCCATTTCTGTTACAAAATTAATGATTGTCGCGCCCAGGCCTTGAGTTGGGCGTTCGCGTGTCTGCTTTTGCTTTTTCACAAAGATTATATTAAAATGACTATTGACATTTCTATGCGTAAAATAATATTAGAAGTGAAATACTTTATAAAAAGCATGATCTATCAAATGTTAAAATTTTTCAAAATAATAGCTTATTTCATCCCGAGATGATCCTATTAAAGACTTTCAGTTTTGCTTTTAAGATATAAAAAATACACATTTATTACTATTTAGCTCTTTGAAACTAAATTAATTTTTAACTTTGTTGTTAACCGTAACTCAAAAAAATTAACCAATAGCCGTAAAAGTAGCCTGAGTATCAAGCCTTCCTAAGGGGCTAGGGGAGAGGAGATTTTAGATGATACTCAGGCTACCGTAAAAGAGCTAGCCTGTGTACAGACCCCCCCCCCCCCCCGCCGCCTCCCCTCAGCACTGTGGGGAGGGGGCTCTATACACAGGCTATAAAAAAGCCACCCATTGAGTAGTCTGCTACACAGCCGTTTTTAGTGTCGTCACTCAACGTTCCTCCCCACAATAGTGGGGAGGAACGTTGTGTGACGATTCTAAAACGGCTGTGTAGCAGACTACTCATTGAGACCCTCATGCAAGGATGTCTCAAACGAGCAGAAAATCGAATTATCGATTATAGGCAACCACTAATTGCCCCCAAACCCTGGGTATAGGTTCGAGTTTCCAAATATTTCATTTTTTTTTGGAGATACACGTGTCCTTGGAAACACTGTGACGCCTTCGCTACTTTTACATTTCCTCAAAAGTGCGATGATGAGTTGAAGCTGATTATAAGACTTGTATTTCAATCATATAACTTTCTTAGTTTTGGCGATTCAACATAATTTTCATGTTCGCGTTTTCGAGAAATCTTTAAAAATTGAAATGTAGGCCGCTATAGAAACGAATATATCGAATTATAAATGATAGCGGAGCTCTCGCGCGCGAAGCGCGCAGCGGAGCACCATGGGTAAGAAAATGTTGTAAACTACCCATCCAAGAAAATTTGGTAATCACGTGACCGTACACCGAGCGAGCGAGCGAGCGAGCGACCGTCCGTCCGCACCACAGGCATACCAATGTAAAATAACTCAATCAACAGGTATGGCAACCCAAATGCGACTCAAGGTTTTATTTAGAACAAAAAACAACAACATAGTCATGTCTTTCCCGGCGTTATTTTTTATGTTTACATTAACGTGGACAACAGTGAAAGAGCTAGAGCGAGTTATTGAAAACAAAGAAGACGAATTTCTTAGGAAGAAAACATGGAAATTCAAAGTGGCGGTGAGAAAATGAGAAATGCTAGCGACCAGCAAGGTGAAAATGAGCGGCAATGAAAAATAAAAGCGAACATGAACACAGGAGACAAAATATTGGGTAAGCACATACGACAATTCCTCCATGAAAAAAATGTGTAACTAGGAAGTTTGACGTTTTAGCCGTACAAAACAGCGTTGTAGTCGTGCAAAACAACAACAAGGGAAAGACAAAAAAGCGTGCTACGTGCAAATTTTTTTTTTGCTAATTAGAAGAAAAAGTGTGCTGCACGTGCAATTTGTTTTTTTTTTTTTTGCTAATTACATCTATTAGTCTTGAAGCCATATTCATTGTCGTCCGCGTTTAGCATTACACGATTTAATTTTTTTTGTTTACACGTATCATTAACCAGAGCTTCGCTTTTAGCCCTGGCTAAATCTATATATTATTTTTCTAGCCTGGCCGGGGAGTATATCAATTCCGTGTTTTACAAACAGACAGACAGAAACCCTGTTAGTTAAGTTATCCTGGGCATAGAAATGAAACAAATCGTTTCACCTGATTTCAATCACAGTGTGAACGTAACTATTATTTCACCTAAGTGAAAAAAATATATATATTTGCCGTTTACCTCTGCGTTTACCTAGTAATCTGCGATCAGGCATTTTTTTTTCTTTCTTTCTTTTATTTGCTTAGTCACAAGATTGTAAAAGTAAAATTATCCAATGGATTTACGTGGAACGCTGTTGGCCTTTACTTTACCTGTAATTTACATGACTTTCAATTTTTAAGTGCGGCAAACACTTTTAGGTTTGCAACATACTAAAACCAAGTCAGGTATCTTAACGTTCTTACCAGTATAGCCTGTCGGAGCAAGTTCCAGATTGGGCGAGGAGTATTTTACCTGCATTGAAGGTGCCTAGAGAGATGGAGGTGATCCCATCACATTCTCTGCCCTCCGTGGTTTCAAACTCTGATTTTAAACGAAGACTACAAAGGGTATTGCGCTCGCGCCAAGCCGAGAAATTAGGGATCTATTCAGGGGTGGAAGTAGGGATGAGCTTGCTGCGGCCGCGGATGCAAAATGGAATAATGGATGCATTCAAGCATAATTCATCCCGTATATTTACCTTTTTATTCAATTATTATCCAATTTTTTCACAATCGTTTTATTTTTTTAAATTTTTCTATTGTTGATGGTCAATCGTTCATTGTTTACACAGGAACTTTAAAGGTTCAGGTCCTCTGAATTCCAGTTTCTATCCCGCCGCTGTATTTAGGTCCAAGGCCAGTTGTTGTCGTTAACCGATTTCCGTATCCAGGTTTCGTCCTTTGACGCCTTCCATGGCCACAATCTCTTGTTTATTTCTCCTGGTAGAAAAAATAAGTTTTTAGATTTTAAAAATACAGTTTGATAACTATATTCACTAGAATTCGCTGAAATTTCTGACATCGAAAATCAAAATACACAGAACGATTCCTTTCTGCTAGCTATCTGCTCCTCGTAAACTTTAATCACGGCATTAATTTTAGTAGTTTCAACCCACTGTCGAAAAACCCAAGAATTTTGATTAAGAAGGTCATGCCTGGGATGGCCGCTAGGACCAATATTCAGAAAGGTACGCCCTAGTGCATTTGTCTTAGAAAAGGTTGAATCTTTGCCTGGTTCGGATCACCACATTGGACCTAAAACTAGTGTCGTCATCAATTAATACTTCGTGATCAATTCTTGACACTTTCATTTTTCTCTGATAGAGAGTTTTCTTTCAGTTTTAGTACTTTGGCCATCACTTTGATTATCATGTATATATAAACAATTGGTGGTAAAAAAAGTGTAAATGAACCATTTCCTCTTCTCTACTCTTTTGTTTTTCTTTTTTGACAATAATTTATTAATAACCTGTGAAAATAGGCTAATTGTAGCACGGTGGGAATATTGTTCGCTGGCTTCTCGGGCTATTAAGGGAGTCAGACAGGAAATTGTTATTGCTGGAAATCACTGCCGGTATATATTTCATACTCCTGGTATCCGTTACATGCATCATCTCTAGTGACTCCGGCGGATGTCAGTACCATGGTTTTTTTAGGTTTCTCGATCCCCCTAATAGCGCTAATCTTGACAGTAAACTTACCTTCAAACTTGCTATCTGAAATTCTTTTCTTTTCCAAAATCGATTCTCGTTTGCGGGAATTAGCAGGCATGTGGTTGTGGAGACGAAGAAAGTATGCTTCCGTTATCACAAGACTAGTGACTAACAGAATCAAGGCCGCCAGTTGCAGCTTCATCATGTAACTGTTGAAGAATAACGTAAAACAATATAGGAGTATAAAAATAAAGAAGACATAACTACAAAATGCGTTCATTGGAACCTGAATAGATTGTTAAAACGGGCTTTTTTTATTGAATTACTTGAATCAAGGGTTTGAGTTGGTTGGGGACTGAGGCTTGGTTGAACACTGACATGCCCTGGGAAATGGGATTGCATCCCTGATCAGTGAAAACGGATCAGAGGGACCCAAACAAAATCTACGCTGGGAACTGATGGGATCAGTGTACTCCCCTGGCTTCTCTTCCAGCCCCGGCCTCATCATTTACAGCTGATCTAAATGGTAGTTTGTCTGGAGTGCAAACTCAATTGAAATTCAATCGCCCGGCGATTAAACGTTAAAGCTTAACATTCGACTGTTCTATAACCTCACTGAGTTATACATCCAGTAAACGGTCTTTAACACCAGCCACCAGACCAAGGCCCACCTTTTTACTTTTATCTACCACTTTAAAGATTATTCAAACGCTGGAGCACTTCATTAAAATCCTGAAAAATGAATCTTGCATTATTTCTTTTTGTCCATTTAAACCAATTGGCTAATTTCTAGATCGTAACCACCAGTTTTCCTTTTAATTCTACGTTTCTTTCAACCGTTTGACGCGCGATGAAACCATTTACGTTTGTTTTGGCCACTCAGGTCACTGGGAATGGGCCGGGAATGGGTTGGGAGAGGAAATACGGCATTAGCCTTTTTCAGTTCAACAGTGTTCTGTCAATGAGTATAGAATGAACACCAAAACCTTGAGTAATTCTTACAGATTCAACTTTCAAAGAAACTTACCTTTGTTAGATGTATGCTCAGTCGGTTGAGGTTTGCTACACCTGAGCTCGGCACTTCGATTCTTAAAATATAATCCTTGACGTAAGTGATTTTCCTTTTTCGTGTATCTGTTAGTGGACTCTGTCAACAGCTTTTTCGAAGAATACAAACTAAATTGCTTCCATTTTCCTGCCTCTTCCATTAAGAGGGTTAAATTTGTTTGCATAATACAGGAGTTTTAACTCGTTTGTCAACAACAAAATTAATTGGAGCGGATAAAAGATGACTCATCATTTCCGAAATTTTATTTCTTAATCATTTTGTTTACGAATTAACAAACACTTGATGAATACTAACTGGAAATAGAATTTTCCATGAAATTTAATTTTTTTTGTCTTTAAATAGAGCGGGGAGACTAAAAGACTGAGCCCTTGCGTTCTGAGAGTGTTGAACAGCCAAACTGAACTATGTCAGGCTTGCGGTGAAGTGACCTCATTAAAGTTTTGTCCCGATCTGTGACTATTTAAAAAAATCTTAATTAAATAACCGCTTTAAAAGGAAAGAACCATTTAATTGCCTCAGCGGCTTGTCAATGTACCACTGATTAAATATTTTAACTTCTATTTATCTGTTAAAGTCCAGACTAAGAGTGGCTAAGCCTCATGAATTTTGAAAGTACAGCCTGAAATTAACATTTCTTCCCGGCAAGAAGCCTGGTATCATGGAGTTACAAATATAATGATAAGCTCTGAATGCATGCAGGAAATAAGGGCTTATATTTAACTCTGTCATGGTATTTAAGGGCTGTGATGCCGGTGGGACAGCCTTATTGCTGACGGGCCGATTAGTGCAGCCTCGGAGGTGGGAATAAGGCTCAGCGTTTTTTCTGAGAGGAATAAAAAAATGTTCTGATACATGTATAATCCTCATCAGTTTTGCCTTCTTTGAAAAGTTCCAATCAGGAAACGAATGAGTGAATTTAATTACTGGCAGATCGAAATGGCTGTTGAGCGTATGATTTTGGCGGTTTTTTTCTGAAGGAAAAACAAATCTTTATGGCTTCTCATCGATTTTAGCTTCTTTGAAAAGTTCTAACCAGCAAATAAATGAGCCAATCAAAGGCTAAATTTACAGACAGAGAAGATCATTTTTTTCAACCGTATTCGTTACGAAACTAGCCTGATTCTCAATCGTCCCAGATTGGATGAAAAGTGATGAGGCCGCGATCGACCTCGGCAGGACGTCTGAGAATCCACTATTATAACCGTATCTTTCTTTGGGTCCAAAGCTTGATGTACGTTCAGACTGGTGTCATCAGGGATTTTAATTCAATCCTCTTTTTATCCTAAAAAAAAAATTAAAAACTTACCCAGGCTAGAGAAGGCCGTTATGCGGTGCGCCTCGCAGTGGCGACTTCGGAGGGCGATTTTCATAGGATTTAGAAAAGAAGAGACCTTATAACACAGGCTAAATAAATGCAAAACCAGGGCAAGGAACGCCCGCGACCGCGGTACCTCCGTGGTATGGCTATTGCGTTACACATGCGCAAAGTCAGTTCTCGTCCCCAGAGCCCTTCGTTTCTTGGTCATGTGGTCTTGAAACGATGGGCTCATTACAAATTTAGCCACGGGGCTCTGGGGGCGAGATTTTACCCTCATTGTGGCTTCTCAGCATGGAGAGAGGTTTGGTAATTTTTGGTAAAATATAGTGTGTGCTTCCTTGCTGTTTTGGTTTTTCAGAACAAAGTAACAGAAAAGTATACAAACTAGAAAAGTGAACCAAGTACCTTCTCGCTCACATAGAGACTTGGCAGACTTGGCTTGTTTCTTTTTCTTTAGCCTACGAGTAACCGCACCCTTCCCCCGACAAAGAGAGGGAGCAAATTGAAGGAAATAATCAAGTAATTAAATAATAATTGAAAATGTGATATCAATAATAATGTTGGGAATATTGAGAATGCTCCAGGCCATGCCATAAACTGATAAAGACGTGGAAATAATATGATCGGTCGGTTGTTCAAACGTCACGATTTGTAATTTGTTGGATTGCATCATCTGTTTTTCGGGTGAAATCGACAACTGCGGCCGGCCGGCCGGCGAGGTCTAATGTAATTCAAATGTATTCTGCTTCTGACTGGTGTTTATATTCTTTTCACTGACAGCTCGTGACGGCGACTGCTTTTTATGAATATTGCCTTCTACAGAAAGATCTTCGGGCGATTCATCCAGAGCCACAGTGTCCGCCTAGCGAATATTTTGATTTGTCTGATCTGGGATTTAAACCGTGAGAACTTTACGAGGGCTTTTGTCACGGTCAATTCTACAAAATTGAAAAGACTCTTAAAATAGCCCAAGTCACCGATCTGACCTCGAATCACGCCATCAAATTTTGGTTGTTATATAACTGGGCGCAATCATTATCGTCAATGTCATTGTGGTGAGAGCTGTACATGGAGTAGACATTCAAGCAGTGACTCCATTGGCGGCAAGGAAAACTGAACGTCAAAACTACCACAAACCTGAATTCTACGCAATGCAGAGGTACGTATCAACTATTTTCCTGTGGCTCATTTTCCTCTTGTAATCTGGTAACACGCTAAACGGATAATTTCAGTATCCCGGGGCTTACTTTTTGCTACAGACTTCAAGCATACGATAACTCGTAACACATATTTCTAGCATTTAGAACTTGTTAATACATCTGCTCTGCTCAAGTAATATCATTCATAAGGAATAAGAAGACGTCCTTTCATAAAATGTAATTGGAAATTTTATCACCTTGTTTATATACTAGAACAATTTCGTTCAGCTGTCATTTCTAGAGCTGTGGTTGAAAGAAGGTGAGCACTGAGAAATGAACCTGCGAATGAAAAATCAAGTTTATGGAACGATTCGCAAGACAAGGAAGGTTCGCTTTTTATTATACGGTGTTCAGATAATTAGTTTCATTGCGCAGAAGCCTTTGATGTTTCTGTCCTGTCCTCGTCTGTTTATTAATCTCTCTACCGTAACATTGCGGCCGTATTTTCCCACGCTAGGATATAGTCCTACTAATAAGGCAAACAGTTGTTTAAAAACCCAAACAATATTTGCCTCAAGTCATGTATCAGCATTGTTAATATGCGTGCTGAATTTGCGTACTTATATAGATTTTTGGGCTGTTTTTGAGCCGTAAATAACTGGCATAATGGTTATTTGATGTCAGAAATCTGAAACGCTAAATTGAACAACGTGCGATCTCGCTGACCTATGTACCGTGTAGGTCAACAAATATGCAATGACGCGCTTTTCAGTAATGATTATGGGTGCCATTTAACATGCCTAAAGGATATTACGACTCCGCACATGGAATAAATTTCTGCGTGAAATAGACCACCCTGAACTGTAACGTGTACACGGTATTTTCCTTGGCTTTTTGAGCCAGACTCTCAGAAAACAAAAGATTCGTTTTCAATTTTGGCGACTTATTATATACCATAATCAAAAATCTCAACAAAAGCCTTTTATGATTGCTAATCAAGACGCTTTACACTTCATCTTAATTAGCATGGCAGGTAACTCTTTTAGGCTCCGCAACACACGTGTTTTAACTAGGCCTCTTGTCATGTCAATTTCGGAAATCCGAGGAATTCGGGAAGAATTATTAAACGGGTTAGTACCTGCTGTTCAAAACGCTGTAATCGGTTCAAGTAGAGGTTAAAGTGGATAGTAGCCCATACTACCAGTGCTAGTCCCTATTTTCGGATTTTTGATCAGTTGACACTGAATATCTTACTCGACCAGGTTTAAGCGAGTAAGCGGTACCCCTTCAACCGTCTTAAAAACCGACCTCAAACATAGAAATACAAACATCCCGAAACATTTAAATAGTTGATCCCAGTATCAGCTTTCGTCCGTAACTGATATTAAAGAATGGATTACCAAATTTCAAACTTCTGAGCCCGAAGCAAAATGGACAAAGAAGAAAACTTCTATTTGTAGTACGTCTTTTTTTTTTCCGCCTAAAAGGTTTTGAGTAGTGAAAAAGGCTGGAGCAGCTAGTGCGTTACCATAACCTGTCAGGCGTTTTAGAGGGAGGGATCGAGGGCTACATACCTTACAAAGAAGGAAAGGGTTACATCATTATACATTTTCCAATTACTACGTTCGTCGTTTAATAAATTCCTCATTATTAATAAAATTTCTGGGCGAGGTTGTACTAACACCACACTCGCAGCACCCAAAATGGATAAACATCGACCTCATTTCTTTGCTTTTTCTTTCTTGCAGTCAAAAGTTGAAGGGCTCTTCCTCGACATCACGTGACTGCATGAGACAGACGCAAGAAGACTTTCAAGAGGCCGTCAATAGAAGGGACAAGGCCGAGATAAGCAGGTTATTAAAAAATGGTTTTAACATAAACGCATTAAACGAAGCTGGAGACACTCCACTGCACCAGTGCATAAGGGATGGAAAAACGGAATCCGCAAAGCTATTGGTCGAGTTCGGCGCTGACGTGAAGAGAACAAACAGAGATGGCTGGTCACCAGCTCACCTCGCAACGTCATTGGGCCACAGAGATCTTCTGCTCTATTTGATAATGCATTCCAACGACAGATAATTCCCCCGGAACAAGCAAACTCAGAACAAATGCTGACATCAGTCATTGTTCACGTGTTGTTGTGGTCGCTGGCTCCAAGGTGATATGCGACGGACACACCAATAAAAATTTTAAGTATCATAGACAACAACGTTTCTTGCGTGGTCGGCTGTATTTTGACCCGTATTTTGCGCTTGGATGATGTCGAAGTGCAACACTAAATTTGAAGGGAAATTAAAGTCACTCATCGCTGCCTTAATTTTATAATAGTGCATGAAAGTTCGCTTGAACGCCAAGACGATAATGATGTAAATTAACTGATGTTATATTTTGATCTTTTTCAGCTGCATCAGTTGGACACTAATTAGCCTTACTATCGCCTTTAAATTGCAAAACATGGCTCGTCACGCAGTCCTTCCGATCGTTGTGGACGATTGCGTGACAAAACAAATTTGTAACCTATTCGAAGCTGTCAGTTAGGGCCTCTTCTAATGAGGCCGGTTGATAAGGCTGGCCCGGTTACTGGGACCAATTCTGGGTCCACGTGAGAAATTTCTGCCCGATTTCCGAGATGATAAATGGCCGTTCTGTTGCGAAATTTGCGGAAAAAAGCAAACACGGGGAATCACAGGTTGCAAACTTCGCACCTATGACAGCTTTCTCTTTTTGCCGTATCACTTTAGTTACGTGGGATGTTAAAGATATGATATCGGCACGGTTCCTCGAAAGATGGTTAAGTTTAACCCAGGATTAGGCTAAATTTTAATGAAGGTTTTCTGGTCTAAGAACATGCAACTCGAAATACTGTTGAGCCTTCACTCCAAGGTGCGGTAGTGATAACACAAATTTTTACTCTAAGAAATACAAAGGAAGGTAAAGTACAAAAACGGAAGAAAGTTTTAATCCTGGATTAGCGCTAATTGGCCTTTCAGGAACCGGACGATGGACAAAGTAATTAAGGCGATGCCACGGGGGTCGCCCTGTTGCGAAAGCTGTGGGAAAGAATTAATCTTGGTGACTTGGCTGAAGTGTTCATGTTCATATGGCCAATATTTCGCCCAACTTACCAAGATTCCGTTTGGAAAAACCGAGCAAGCCCGGCCTACAATATGAAAACATCAAAATTTTACAAAAGATTTAGAGGTAGCGAGGTCACGGAACTGACCGGGATCATATAAAAAGACCCTTAATGACTCTGCAAATACAGCGGCGGCCTCTGATCGCTAATTGTCACGCGGGGCACGTACCGCATGACGACACCCCAGTAACGAGGATCAGCCGGCGTTATGTATCTTTCAGCCCTCCATTAAAACTCACAGTGGAACATATATGTGACGGCTTCCAGAAAACACAAGATTTATATGAAAAACGCATTCCATAAGGGGATAATTTAATCATTTTGCATGGTTTTGTTGGTTACCAATACAAGAACAAGCTATTTTACAGTAACTTTTCATTCTGCTTCATCATTGTTTCTTCTAGATGAACACTTGTCACAACCAGAGTTTCAAAAAGCAACACACTCGAAAAGCCTAATCCGCGTCAATCTTTGAAATACTTATGTGCCCCGCTAAACAATTTTTCGATAGTTAAGTTAAACCTTTCGCAACTATGAACGTACCCTACTCGAGATTAGTCCATCGAAACTTTCGGCAGAATACCCAGATCGACACCCTAACAAAGTAGCAATAACCCTTGCCACATTAATAGAGGACTGTACACAAAGGATTCTGGAGAAAGATGCGAACAATAAGCGTTGGTAATGCGCGCCCAGGTGGCGTAAGTTTTATTGACTACGAGAAAATGAGAAAAAGACATAAATATTCAAACTATTACATTATTTACTAACATTTCTGGTCCACTAGCACCAGAACGCTTGCGAGATGGGCAACGATTATCGAGTAACTTTATAGATCTGTATGGCCAGTCTCTATTCTCTGCGGTCTATGTATCGCTGATAATAACAAACCAGCTTTGAAGTCATTTTCTGTTTTTCCATGCGCGCAGTTTTTGAACAAAGAAGCTTTCCAGCACTTCAGCGCAACGATAGTAGGGTGAATCTCGCTGGTTGAAATAACGACAATTGTCGAAAAGAATATAATAGTAGTTTTATTTAAAATGGTGTTGTAATAAATAAACAAATGAGAAAGTGAGTTATTAGATGAAAAAAAGTTAGCAAGTAAAAGAAAGTTAACAAGTGTAATGAATTTATTCCACATTTCATATAAAAATGGTAAGGGGGGGGTCAACTATTTATTATCGCGTTTAGCCAAATCTCCTCCAAACCACCCCCCCAGGCGATAAATAATGACCGGTCCCTAAATAAATGCAAAACCAGAGTAAGGAGCGCCCGCGACCGCGGTACCTCCGCGGTATGGCTATTGCGTTGCACATGCGCAAAGTCAGTTCTCGTCCCCAGAGCCCTTCGTTTCTTGGTCATGTGGTCTTGAAACGAAGGGCTCATTACAAATTTAGCCACGGAGCTCTGGGGACGAGATTTTACCCTCATTGTGGCTTCTCAGCATGGAGAGAGGTTTGGTAATTTTTGGTAAAATATAGTGTGTGCTTCCTTGCTGTTTTGATTTTTCAGAACAAAGTAACTGAAAAGTATACAACCTTGAAAAGTGAACCAAGTACCTTCTCGCTCACACAGAGCGAGACTTGGCAGACTTGGCTTGTTACTTTTTCTTTAGCCTACGAGTAACCGCACCCTTCCCCCGACAAAGAGAGGGAGCAAATTAAAAGAAATAATCAAGTAATTAAATAATAATTCAAAATGTGATATCAATAATAATATTGGGAATATTGGGAATGCTCCAGGCCATGCCATAAACTGATAAAGACGTGGAAATAATATGATCGGTCGTTTGTTCAAACGTCACGATTTGTAATTTGTTGGATTGCATCATCTGTTTTTCGGGTGAAATCGACAACCGCGGCCGGCCGGCCGGCGAGGTCTAATGTAATTCAAATGTATTCTGCTTCTGACTGGTGTTTATATTCTTTTCACTGACAGCTCGTGACGACGACTGCTTTTTATGAATATTGCCTTCTACAGAAAGATCTTCGGGTGATTCATCCAGAGCCACAGTGTCCGCCTAGCGAATATTTTGATTTGTCTGATCTGGGATTTAAACCGTGAGAACTTTACGAGGGCTTTTGTCACGGTCAATTCTACAAAATTGAAAAGACTCTTAAAATAGCCCAAGTCACCGATCTGACCTCGAATCACGCCATCAAATTTTGGTTGTTATATAACTGGGCGCAATCATTATCGTCAATGTCATTGTGGTGAGAGCTGTACATGGAGTAGACATTCAAGCAGTGACTCCATTGGCGGCAAGGAAAACTGAACGTCAAAACTACCACAAACCTGAATTCTACGCAATGCAGAGGTACGTATCAACTATTTTCCTGTGGCTCATTTTCCTCTTGTAATCTGGTAACACGCTAAACGGATAATTTCAGTATCCCGGGGCTTACTTTTTGCTACAGACTTCAAGCATACGATAACTCGTAACACATATTTCTAGCATTTAGAACTTGTTAATACATCTGCTCTGCTCAAGTAATATCATTCATAAGGAATAAGAAGACGTCCTTTCATAAAATGTAATTGGAAATTTTATCACCTTGTTTATATACTAGAACAATTTCGTTCAGCTGTCATTTCTAGAGCTGTGGTTGAAAGAAGGTGAGCACTGAGAAATGAACCTGCGAATGAAAAATCAAGTTTATGGAACGATTCGCAAGACAAGGAAGGTTCGCTTTTTATTATACGGTGTTCAGATAATTAGTTTCATTGCGCAGAAGCCTTTGATGTTTCTGTCCTGTCCTCGTCTGTTTATTAATCTCTCTACCGTAACATTGCGGCCGTATTTTCCCACGCTAGGATATAGTCCTACTAATAAGGCAAACAGTTGTTTAAAAACCCAAACAATATTTGCCTCAAGTCATGTATCAGCATTGTTAATATGCGTGCTGAATTTGCGTACTTATATAGATTTTTGGGCTGTTTTTGAGCCGTAAATAACTGGCATAATGGTTATTTGATGTCAGAAATCTGAAACGCTAAATTGAACAACGTGCGATCTCGCTGACCTATGTACCGTGTAGGTCAACAAATATGCAATGACGCGCTTTTCAGTAATGATTATGGGTGCCATTTAACATGCCTAAAGGATATTACGACTCCGCACATGGAATAAATTTCTGCGTGAAATAGACCACCCTGAACTGTAACGTGTACACGGTATTTTCCTTGGCTTTTTGAGCCAGACTCTCAGAAAACAAAAGATTCGTTTTCAATTTTGGCGACTTATTATATACCATAATCAAAAATCTCAACAAAAGCCTTTTATGATTGCTAATCAAGACGCTTTACACTTCATCTTAATTAGCATGGCAGGTAACTCTTTTAGGCTCCGCAACACACGTGTTTTAACTAGGCCTCTTGTCATGTCAATTTCGGAAATCCGAGGAATTCGGGAAGAATTATTAAACGGGTTAGTACCTGCTGTTCAAAACGCTGTAATCGGTTCAAGTAGAGGTTAAAGTGGATAGTAGCCCATACTACCAGTGCTAGTCCCTATTTTCGGATTTTTGATCAGTTGACACTGAATATCTTACTCGACCAGGTTTAAGCGAGTAAGCGGGATCCCTTCAACCGTCTTAAAAACCGACCTCAAACATAGAAATACAAACATCCCGAAACATTTAAGTAGTTGATCCCAGTATCAGCTTTCGTCCGTAAGTGATATTAAAGAATGGATTACCAAATTTCAAACTTCTGAGCCCGAAGCAAAATGGACAAAGAAGAAAACTTCTATTTGTAGTACATGTCTTTTTTTTTTTTGCCTAAAAGGTTTTGAGTAGTGAAAAAAGGCTGGAGCAGCTAGTGCGTTACCATAACCTGTCCAGCGTTTTAGAGGGAGGGATCGAGGGCTGCATACCTTACAAAGAATCATTATACATTTTCCAAGTACTACGCTCGTCGTTTAATAAATTCCTCATTATAAATAAAAATTCTGGGCGAGGTTGTACTAACACCACACTCGCAGCATCCAAAATGGATAAACATCACACTCGCAGCGTTCGACTTTGTAGCAGAGCTGCAATAGTGTGAAAAGAAGTTCACCCATTTCTGGAAACAAAGATTGGAGTGAAAATATAGTCAATTTTTTAAAATGAAATTGTCATCTAAAGCCTGGACCTCATTTCTTTGCTTTTGCTTTCTTGCAGTCAAAAGTTGAAGGGCTCTTCCTCGACATCACGTGACTGCATGAGACAGACCCAAGAAGACTTTCAAGAGGCCGTCAATAGAAGGGACAAGGCCGAGATAAGCAGGTTATTAAAAAATGGTTTTAACATAAACGCATTAAACGAAGCTGGAGACACTCCACTGCACCAGTGCATAAGGGATGGAAAAACGGAATCCGCAAAGCTATTGGTCGAGTTCGGCGCTGACGTGAAAAGAACAAACAGAGATGGCTGGTCACCAGCTCACCTCGCAACGTCATTGGGCCACAGAGATCTTCTGCTCTATTTGATAATGCATTCCAACGACAGATAATTCCGCCGGAACAAGCAAACTCAGAACAAATGCTGACATCAGTCATTGTTCACGTGTTGTTGTGGTCGTTGGCTCCAAGGTGGTATGCCACGGACACAGCAATAAAACTTTAAAAGTATCATAGACAACAACGTTTCTTGCGTGGTCGGCTGTATTTTGACCCGTATTTTGCGCTTGGATGATGTAGAAGTGCAACACTAAATTTGAAGGAAAATTAAAGTCACTCATCGCTGCCTAAATTTTATAATAGTGCATGAAAGTTCGCTTGAACGCCAAGACGATAATGATGTAAATTACCACAACTGATGTTATATTTTGATCTTTTTCAGCTGCATCAGTTGGACACTAATTAGCCTTACTATCGCCTTTAAATTGCAAAACATGGCTCGTCACGCAGTCCTTCCAATCGTTGTGGAAGACTGCGTGACAAAACAAATTTGTAACCTATTCGAAACTGTCATTTAGGGCCTCTTCTAATGAGGCCGGTTGATAAGGCTGGCCCGGTTACTGGGACCAATTCTGAGTCCACGTGAGAAATTTCTGCCCGATTTCCGAGATGATATAAAATGGCCGTACTATCCTTGGGACGAGTTCTGTTGCGAAATTTGCGGAAAAAAGAAAACACAGGGAATCACAAGTTGCAAACTTCGCACCTATGACAGCTCTTAACTCTTTTTGCCGTATCACTTTAGTTACGTGGGATGTTAAAGATATGATATCGGCACGGTTCCTCGAAAGATGGTTAAGTTTAACCCAGGATTAAGCTAAATTTTAATCAAGGTTTTCTGGTCTAAGAACATGCAACTCGAAATACTGTTGAGCATTCACTCCAATATGAGGTAGTGATAACACAAACTGTTGCTCTAAGAAATACAAAGGAAGGCAAAATACAAAAACGGAAGAAAGTTTTAATCCTGGATTAGCGCTAATTGGCCTTTCAGGAACCGGACGATGGACAAAGTAATTAAGGCGATGCCACGGGGGCCGCCCTGTTGCAAAAGCTGTGGGAAAGAATTAATCTTGGTGACTTGGCCTTGATCTTGGTGACTTGTTCATGTTCATATGGCCAATATTTCTCCCAACTTACCAAGATTCCGTTTGGAAAAACCGAGCAAGCCCGGCCTACAATATGAAAACATCAAAATTTTACGAAAGATTTCGAGGTAGCGAGGTCACGGAAACCGGGATCATATGAAAAGACCCTTAATGGCTCTGCAAATACAGCGGCGGCCTCTGATCGCTACTTGTCACTGGGCACGTACCGCATGACACCCCAGTGACGAGGATCAGCCGGCGTTATGTATCTTTCAGCCCTCCATTACATCTCACAGTGGAACACAAGATTTATATGAAAAACGCATTCCATAAGGGGATAATTTAATGATTTTGCATGGTTTTGTTGGTTACCAATACAAGAACAAGCTATTTTACAGTAACTTTTCATTCTGATTCATCATTGTTTCTTCTAGATGAACACTTGTCACAACCAGAGTTTCAAAAAGCACACACTCGAAAAGCCTAATCCGCGTCAATCCTCGAAATACTTATGTGCCCCGCTAAACAATTTTTTGATAATTAAGTTAAACCTTTCGCAACTATGAACGTACCCTACTCGAGATTTAGTCCATCGAAACTTTCGGCAGAATACCCAGATCGACACCCTAACAAAGTAGTAATAACCCTTGCCACATTAATAGAGGATTGTACACAAAGGATTCTGGAGAAAGATGCGAACAAGATGCGTTGGTAATACGCGCCCAGGTAGCGTAAGTTTTATTGACTACGAGAAAATGAGAAAAAGACATAAATATTCAAACTATTACACTATTTACTAACATTTCTGGTCCACTAGCACCAGAACGCTTGCGAGATGGGCAACGATTATCGAGTAACTTTATAGATCTGTATGGCCAGTCTCTATTCTCTGCGGTCTATGTATCGCTGATCATAACAAACCAGCTTTGAAGTCATTTTCTGTTTTTCCATGCGCGCAGTTTTTGAACAAAGAAGCTTTCCAGCACTTCAGCGCAACGATAGTAGGGTGAATCTCGCTGGTTGAAATAACGACAATTGTCGAAAGTATTCAGGAACTTCATCAGCGTTAACAGGTTCTAGGAACGGCCACGCCATTTTATGGCTCTATAAAAACAGGAAGAAAATGGAACTCACTGTTCTTCTTTTTAACGTATAAGATTGACCGCCAGTAACACAGCTTCTTACCGCCTTTAGCCCAACGCTGATGCCCGGGAGAATGTAAAAGATAATAATGGTGGAAACATATATATCTCGCAGCACTCATAGTAACCAGACGGAGGTTAGTCTTTTGGTTAGCTGTTATAGAGCGGGAGAAAAGAGGCCTCATCTTCTTTTCTTCTCTCGTGTGCGCGCGCGTCCTTGAAATTTCTCCCTTCGCCCTAAAGGTTGATCGCCACTGACGTGTTTTTGGCTACGCACGTTAGCGCACGTAAATAAAATAGAGGCAAGATAAAAATGAAGTGCTGAGCTTAAACGAGAAGTTGAGCGAGGTTCAACTTTTACGCTTACGAGCGACCTTTCATGTGTTGCCTCTATTTCATTTGCGAACGTAAATTTTACGCACGTACGCACGTAAAAATTACGCGACACTGGAAATCAACCCTAAAGAACCGGCGACCGCTACGCAGGCTACCAGGCGTTCATGACGCATGTCCAATCTTATAAGGCGCTGTTGTAAGTGTTGGTATAAAGCGTCCTGAGCCTGCCATCCTGAAAACTACTATAACGAACACCGCCGGCGGCATGGCTTTCATGTTTTATTGTCTAGTCTGTCCACCGTGTTCCTATAAAATTATACTTTTTTTAACTTGCACTACCGTATTCTCTTCTTGGGCCGCGGATATGCGTCAAAACTCGCAACTACATTGACGAACGAGAATTACCATTACAGTAGTCTAAGGCAACTTAGATACCAGAATGTTGAAGTAATGCTGGCTCAAATAAGTGCAAACAGCCGGTAAACAGATATATCCCGTTTTAAAGTTAAAAATAGACTCCAACCTACCTGCAAAGAACGGAGAAGACGTTTAAGCGTGTCGTAATCCTTGCTGGTCAGCGGCTGTTTGCTGGCTTGAGTCTGGGACTGAGTGCATTTTGGACACGTATAAAACTCAATATTCTCCGCTTCAGTGGCCGTGATACCAACACATGTACCATGAAACCAACCTTGGCACTTGTCACAGCCGATGTAGAATCTACAAAGCGAGGCATGCTTTAAGAATATTTTCCAGACATTATAATAAGAAACAACCATAAGCAGTGGACCAAACCTCAACCGTGAAACCCGTGCCAGGTAGACACCCTGTATTAGGCAGACAAGCTGCGAAATAAACGTTGGTATCACTGTGACTTATGAAATGTACAGGTGCCTCTAGTTTTTCTGCCGCTCAGCTTTTTGTCACGATGGCGACTTTTATTACATGTTACTAATTTTTTTAATGTTAATTTCCAGCCAAGAAAATTCCTGTATTATAATTTGAGTTTTTAAGACAGTCTTGTTAAGCCTTTGGCACTCAGAGGAGAAACAGTTATGCCAGAAGACTCAGTGGTGAGCTAAGATTTTCACCTTGAGTTTGCGGTGAACGAACTTTGCGCAAGTGGGCCCTGCAGATGTCGGTACATGATAATTTCTGCCGCCAAAGTGAAATATAATGCGTCCTGGGTCATAAATTGTAATTAATGTCTACCTTTCTTTAGCCATTCCCCTCTCCCGCCCCCAAATAACGAGAACATTATAGACCGTACTTTCTTTCATCGTAGGGCTGGCGGCACAGACAGTAAAGTTCTTCCTCTTCCACTCCCCGTCGAGCCTGCGTACACTCGGCACAAGTCCACTCGTCCATACTTTGCGCGCTTTCTGGTGTGACCTGGACACAACGTCCGTGGAACCAGTTGGCACACATGTCACAACCAATATAGAATCTAAAGAGAACAATATTTATTTAGTTTGTTGTGCATCTAATAATTATTTTATCCCAGGGTAGTTAAGACTTTTGATCGTTTACTCGCTATGTCAATGGAGAGAACGGTTGGAGAAGAAACATTCGCAGTGCAGAACAATAACTTGCACCGATTCAACAACAACAACAACAACAAATTTTATTGAAAATTGGAAATATAACTAATAACATTACTTTCCCACCCGCAAATAGCTCATTATTGTATATAATAATAATAATGGCTATAACTACACGGATAATTCTAACTACTACTCAACTGCCACATACACAAAATTAAATTAAAAATACACTTATATTTCAACCTTTAAGGGAGTATGCTAGCAAGGAAAGAGATACTTACAGAGTTGGATCATAAGGAGTCTTGCAAATACAGAACAGGCGTTCATCTTCAACAGCTTTCTTCCTCTTTGCCTTAGGTCCTTCAGGTGAACTACTGTGTGAGTTCCTTCTCTCTGAGTCCCCTGCATGCTTCCTTTTACTTCCTGTTTTAGGGTCCTCTTGCAGCTCCAACAGTAGGTCTCTCTCAAGAAGATCCCTTTTCCTCATTACGTCTCTTTTAAGTGCCTCCTTGCGTTTTTGCAGTAAAGCTGCGAGTTTGTTGGCCTTCTGTTTCTCCATCCTCAGAGCCTGACTTTCTTCCTTGGCACGTTTCTTCAACTGTTTCCTGCGTTCAGCCTCTTCATTGCGATCAATTTTGTCTAGTATAAAGTCGAGAACCTTCCTACAAATAGCAACTCTGTAAAACAAAACAACTAGACGTCACCCAGTCTGTGATGTAACATTATTACTCTTTCACTTTTCATAAATGACATATCTTTACACGCTGTTGGTGGCGGTAACTTTAGTTAAAGTAATACAGATTACAACAAAAAGAATAAGTTACAAGGTCGACTTAACACACTCTACTGTCGATATGAGTTGGGACAATACTAACCCAAAAGTTTACTTAGCTAAGTTTCACAGTCACGGAGAGAAAATGGTATGAATAAAACGGCGATAGTCATTATCACAAACAGTTTTATTAAATCACTACACACACCGAGAAAGTCATACTCCATCTACAGCTGTACTTGTTAGTTTTTCACAGAAATACTAAATACATGTTAAGAAAGGTAAAAAGGAATTAGAAGAACTTGTACGGGATGGAGAGAAGATAAGTACTTTCATCCTACAGGTCAGTAATCCCAGTAAAAGATTGTGCTAAGATATACAAGATCTGCATTTGTAGAGCCTGATAGGGTATGAGAAAGGGAGGAGGGTGGGTACATAAAGAAGAGTGGCAAGTCCTGTCTGTGTGGTTACAATTGAGGCGGGTGAGTGTTAGTTACCTGTTCATATCTTGCCTTGCCTCCATAGTCATGTATTTCTTGTTATGCAGTAGTGGTACCCCAGCTCCAGGCTTGCGAGACTTTGCTTTGCTCGCCTGTTTAACTTGTTCCTTGGAGGAGTGCTTCATCCGGGATGTTGTCATGGGGTTGGTTCGGACTGCAGCCGGTTTGGGCGTGGCTACTGTGAAAGCAGCAGTAGGTCGCGTCACTATAACAAAAAGGAAGAAAGAAAAACACGCTCAAAAGATAAACTTCCGGTATCAAAGGGTCGCGAGTAGTTTGCCTACAGTGGACCCTCGATTAGGCGACCATCCTTGGAAAAGGATTAACTGGCCGATAATGGAGGGACATCGAAAACAAGGTTAGGCGTGGTAAGAGCCAGTATACAAACTTAATAGCGACAAAACTACTAGTCTGTCCCGGCACGCTGTTCACGATTGTTTTAATTAAAGTGAAAAAGCAGTTTTCCACATTATTTTTAATCATTTCACTGTATGAAACAATACGAAACAATCTTCTTGGGGCAGCATGAAGGCGGCCCGCTTAACAGAGGTGGCTGTTAAAAAGAGGCTATAAATTAATTACTAATTAAATATTAATTATTTAGCCGCTTAATACAGGGTGGTCACCTGATGGAAGGTCGTTAAATNCCAGGCTTGCGAGACTTTGCTTTGCTCGCCTGTTTAACTTGTTCCTTGGAGGAGTGCTTCATCCGGGATGTTGTCATGGGGTTGGTTCGGACTGCAGCCGGTTTGGGCGTGGCTACTGTGAAAGCAGAAGTAGGTCGCGTCACTAGAACAAAAAGGAAGAAAGAAAAACACGCTCAAAAGATAAACTTCCGGTATCAAAGGGTCGCGAGTAGTTTGCCTACAGTGGACCCTCGATTAGGGGGCCATCCTTAGAAAAGGATTAACTGGCCGATAATGGAGGGCCATCGAAAACAAGGTTAGGCGTGGTAAGAGCCAGTATACAAACTTAATAGCGACAAAACTGCTAGTCAGTCCCGGCACGCTGTTCACGATTGTTTTAATCGAAGTGAAAAAGCAGTTTTCCACATTATTTTTAATCATTTCACTGTATGAAACAATACGAACAATCTTCTTGGGGCAGCATGAAGGCGGCCCGCTTAACAGAGGTGGCTGTTAAAAAGAGGCTATAAATTAATTACTCATTAAATATTAATTATTTAGCCGCTTAATACAGGGTGGTCACCTGATGGAAGGTCGTTAAATAGAGGTTCGACTGTACTTTATTTTTGATCTTTTAATTTAAGAGATATAAAGTAAAATGTCATTAATAAGAAGTTCTTGATGTTATTAATAACTTCTGTTTTACAGTTTACCTTGAAGGAAAGTTCGGCTGTAGTCTACCCCTCCCCTCCCCTCTCATCCACCTCTTGTCTGCCCGACCCTGACTTCTCTGACTGTCTAAAACCTCAAAACAACAAACCCACTCGTTCCGCTCTATGATCTGTAGCATTATTTAATATTGTTTATGAAATGGAAAGGTTTCTCGAAAATTTAACCAAGTTCAGAATTAAATATGACTTACCATTATATCCAGTAGCAGAGCTTGGGGCAGCAGCAGCTCGTGATGTTTGACTTAAGTTTGAATTAGCAGTGTAAACTCGCTGCGGCGTGGCTTGAAGTTTGGGTTGTAATCTCTGTACATATGAAGCTGAAGAAGCGACCTGGGTGATTGTTGTGGTTCGCGGTATAATTTGCGTTCTTATCTGCGGCATACCAACGGGCTGTACAGAAGGGAGCTTGGAAGGAAGCGCTTGACGTACAACAGGTACCGTACGGCGTAAAGCTCCTATAGGAACCGCCGCAGTCACAGCAGGTTTGTATGTAAATTGAGGATTGACTGCAGGAGGTTTGTACACAGCTACCTTTTTCTGCTGAGTCTTAATAGCATTCTGGACTTTTTTCTTGTTCATCTTGAGGAGATGCTGCTGCTGTTGTCGCGCCTGTTGTTCTTGTTGTTTCCGCTGGAGAGCGGCGGCGCGTATTTCCGCTGCACGCTTCAAGGCTTCCTCTTGTTCTTTCTTTTCTCGTGCAAGGGCCCTCTCGCGGTCGATTCGCTCGTGATACTGGCGGATCTCCCAAAGTTCCAATTTAGCCTGTNTGATGGAAGGTCGTTAAATAGAGGTTCGACTGTACTTTATTTCTGATCTTTTACTTTAAGAGATATAAAGTAAAATGTCATTAATAAGAAGTTCTCGATGTTATTAATAACTTCTGTTTTACAGTTTACCTTGAAGGAAAGTTCGGCTAGAGTCTACCCCTCCCCTCCCCTCTCATCCACCTCTTGTCTGCCCGACCCTGACTTCTCTGACCGTCTAAAACCTCAAAACAACAAACCCACTTGTTCCGCTCTATGATCTGTAGCATTATTTGATATTGTTGTTTGTTGTTGTTGTTTCTTTTTTTGTTTTTTCGTTTATGAAATGGAAAGGTTTCTCGAAAATTTAACCGAGTTCAGAATTAAATATGACTTACCATTATATCCAGTAGCAGAGCTTGGGGCAGCAGCAGCTCGTGATGTTTGACTTAAGTTTGAATTAGCAGTGTAAACTCGCTGCGGCGTGGCTTGAAGTTTGGGTTGTAATCTCTGTATATATGAAGTTGAAGAAGCGACCTGGGTGATTGTTGTGGTTCGCGGTATAATTTGCGTTCTTATCTGCGGCATACCAACGGGCTGTACAGAAGGGAGCTTGGAAGGAAGCGCTTGACGTACAACAGGTACCGTACGGCGTAAAGCTCCTATAGGAACCGCCGCAGTCACAGCAGGTTTGTATGTAAATTGAGGATTGACTGCAGGAGGTTTGTACACAGCTACCTTTTTCTGCTGAGTCTTAATAGCATTCTGGACTTTTTTCTTGTTCATCTTGAGGAGATGCTGCTGCTGTTGTCGCGCCTGTTGTTCTTGTTGTTTCCGCTGGAGAGCGGCGGCGCGTATTTCCGCTGCACGCTTCAAGGCTTCCTCTTGTTCTTTCTTTTCTCGTGCAAGGGCCCTCTCGCGGTCGATTCGCTCGTGATACTGGCGGATCTCCCAAAGTTCCAATTTAGCCTGTAAAAAATAAGAGATAACACCTTAAACATGACACACAGAGTTCTATAAACTAAAAATATTCCTGAATTTAAAAGTGAACCATGAAAACGCCACGTTAACAGAAGTGGCAAGAAAAGTAAAACGCTGGAGTAAGCTAAATTTCGGTTTTCGGTTACAGGAAGCTGTTAAAAATTGTATTTTCTCCTTTGCAGAAGCTTTAATGTTGATGTTGAAAGAAAGATAAGAATCAAAGCATGTCATACAGTAACTCCCTACCTCAGGGTACCACGCCTCAAATACACGAGGACCAGACTGCGTTCGACGATCACCATCTTCATCATCAGGTTGTAGGACAATCTTTGGTCTTAATGTACGTCCCCTCTTGCTCTTTGTAGGCGCTGGTTTAGGTGGTTCTACTACTGGTTTGGTTAGTGTCCTTATAACTTTCCGCACAAGGTACTTGCATCGCAGGCCATCAACCGAAACAAATTTTCTGTCTGTTATTTCTGTTGTTGTTGTACCTAAATGGGGAAACAACAAGACATGAAAGAAACTGAGCCTACTTTTGAGAATAGTCGGTATGTTTTTCTTTCTATACAAAATTATCCCAGTCTGAGTTTTTTCTCTCGACTGACATCAGTATTGCATCAACAGAAACACCGCTGTGTGGAGAAACGGTCAACGAACGAGTGCTACAAGGGTCAAAAGACAAAATATGTCAAGAAAATTAATGCATCTAAAATAAACCTCGAATTTTTAGGACAAATGATGTATGGTAGCTTTCTTGATTTAACTGAAGGGAATAACTTCGAGTCCTGTTCTTGGCTACGGGGGACAATGAAGTACAAGTTTATACAAGCGCCTAAAATATCGATATCATACGAAAATCTTGCGAAAACGCAATGAAATGTATGCTATTAATGATAACACCAACATTCTGTGGGTTCGCGCCACAAACAGGGGTGATGGAGTGGTACAAACGTTCCACTAACCTGAACTGGTGTAGACAGTATTGTTGTTTCCACGTGGTGGCCTCACGTTCATTTCATCCCATTTGAGACATGACTGTAAAATCCTGAGCTGTATTGCTGCTCCGGCTAGTGTCTTTAAACTCTGAGTTCGGAAACGCCAAGCAACCTTAAATGAAGGACGAGGAATTCCCACGGGCCAGTTAACACCAACAGCACGCGAAGTGTACACATATCCATTCACTTCCTTCATTCCGGCTTTCCTGCCAAGTTTTCTACGTTCATGCTTTTCTAGAGTAAACAAACTTTTTACTGAATGACGCAACGGCCATTTGGCGATCCTTCGGTTAAGCAGTCCACGAGGATCTTTAATGAGAAGTTCTAGGGATGGAAACTTTTCTTCCTTGATTGGTTTGGCTGGCACCTTTGGTTTGATGACAACTTGTGGCTTGACCTGGGCAGGCTGTTGCTGTGGTCTCTGCACAGTAATAGTGGTGGCAGTTGTTGATGCACCAACAGTCTTTACTGGATTTTGTTGCACAGTAGCACCAGAGACCTGCACTGTTATTGTTTTAGGGACGGCAAGCTGCATCGGGGATCCCATTTGCTGGGCGATAGCCGCTAGCTGTGAACCCTGCAGGGTGATCGACTTACCATCCGCTGTGACCAGACGAATGAGCTGTGATGGTCCAATGGTTGCACCAGATCCTGGAATTCTCGCCACCAATGCAGCCATACTGTTCACTGGAGCCGTGCTAGCTTGGCCCACAACCGTTGGCTGAACTACATTTGTTCCCTGTACGACTATGCTTTGACCAGTTAGCCTTGGTGAGGGAAGGATTGGTTTTGGACCAATTGGGACGTACTGAGCTGTCTGGATTCGACTAGAAATGGCAGTTTTCTGTGCAGTTGTTATCCTAGTACACACACTTCCACTGGGTGTGTTTACTACTAAACCTTTCACAGCTGTTGATTGTACTGAGGAAGCTAAAGGAGTTGTTACTGCAACTACATTTCGGGGACTTTTACTAACAACCCCTGTTCTTTGCAAGGGAACACTGGGTAACAACGGTTTAATGTTAACCGCGGGTGTTTCTGTAAATGTATTTGTTGCTACCGTAGATAATGTGGACGGTTTATCAATGCTAGTCGCACACTGAACTAGTACTGAGGGCAATGACACAGACAGCTGTGATGCTGGTACAGAGTACTGGAGGTAGCAGGTGTGGTACAGGTCGACTTCGGCATCACTGATTTAGCTGTCGTTACATCACAGGTCGAAACTGCGTTAACCCCTGACGAGACAGTAGTAGAGGTTTTCGGCGCGCTGATGATACTGGTTGTCGAATTTTCACAAGACGATGTGCAATTTTTCTTGTCGAGCGATACAGCCCCTCTGTTACCTGTCGTGTCTGTGCTAGTGACTTCTGTTGGTAATGACGAACAGTCATCACCTGAATTTTTACTCATCCGAGGAGGTGTTTCTGAGACTGAACTTTCAGATGTAGAAACAGCTTTGACGTCAATATCCATGGGTTCTGCTTCTCGAATACGCACTGGCTCAGAATCAGCAAAGGTAGCAGACAGGATCACTGAGCTGTCCACTTGAGCAGAAACATGAGCATCTGTAGAGCTACAAACATTCATTTCACTAGATGGTCTTGAAGGTGACACTGTGGTGACATCAACATCAATAGGCGTTTCTTGTTCGTTGTGACTTTCCCCGAGATGAGAAGTAGAAACAGTTGAAATTGACGCGGTCAAACTGTCATCTGAGCGACTACCTTGCACTGCACTGTTCTCCCCTGAAGAACAATCTGTACTGACATCCCTGTTTGAGCTTGCAGTATTTTCCCACAGTGCACCAATTTGACCGTTGTCGCCACCTTTTGCTTTAATCGTCTGTGTATCTGTGGCGCCTCCACAACTCACCACTGCAGTACTCTGTTCAGCTTCAAAGTTGTTTGAAGGTCCATGAGCTTCCTCAGTTGTTGCTAGTTCTTGTGAAGAAGAAACATCAGCACCGTCTTTAACTTTCGAACAGCTTGAGGCAATGGCAGATTTCTCATCACTGAAATCATCTTTTCCAACGTGATTACAAAGGTCTTCTAAATTACTCTTCGGTTCAACGCAGTCAGCAACGTTTTCAGCTGAAATGTCATGATTTGCCTCAGTAATGACATCTTTGTTCACAATACCCAAGCATTGTTTGCCCTTGGCTGAGGTACTGGCGTCCGGTAGCTTCTCTGCCCTTTCAGTTTCGCTGACTTCTTCTGTTAAACTGTCGTTCAGAGAAGTCCTTTTGCTTTGACTTTCCTCTAAAACATCCTCAACATTATTAGAAATCCTTCCGGTACACAGTTCGTTCTCCTTATCATTTACCAGGACTTCGTCGACGGGCTTAATTTCCTTCTCACGTTCATTTGCGTCTGTATCACTTGAGCAAGGCGCGTTGTTTAAATCTTTATGTCCTCCTAAGCTGTCTGGCTTTGTTATCGCAATACCCTGCATCTCGTTCTCCACAGAAAGACTTGGATTCTGATTTTCTTGATAAACCGCCTGTCTGGATTCTTCGAGTACTTCGTAACCGTCACCTTCAACTTGTAACGAGGAGGACGTGTCTGGTGTAACCTCACCATCATGCTTGTCGGCTTTATTGTCACACTGTACATTCACAAACTCAGATACAACTTGCTGCGATTCCGACAATTCATCTTTCTTAAACTTTGTATCTTGAGTAGAATCTACTGTAACTAGTCTTTCTTGTCTAGTGCAAGAGTCAAAAGGTGAAGTACTTTGTTTTACATTGGAATCAGTTATTGTTGCATCCTCTAAGCATGATTTATCTAAAGAATCACTCGTCAGATTCGGTTTGTCATTACCTTCAGATCCCTTGGACACAAAAGAAGTACTACCATCATTCTGAGATGTGAGATTGTCAACATTCAACTGCTTTTGAGCAAATTCTTTGTTACCAGTGTTCACTGTAATGGATTCCACTTGTAAGGTATTCTGTGCACTACTAACACCACAAGAGGACTCCAGGGTTGAACGATCTACCGAAACGTCATTATTATATTCTAATTTTTCTTTATCAGCATTTTGCTCGGAATAATAAATAGGTGCTCTATCATAAGTGGATTCCATTTGAGTGGTATCTTCTGTGCTAACACCGCTAGGGAATTTCACAGTTGGGCAATCTACCAAAACGTTTTTATCAGTATTACTTTCTCCACTACTGACAGACACTGACGGAAGATTATCGCGCGTTTCACTTCTTTCCAGACCCTCAGAAACACTGACAGATTCTGAAGAAGTGTCTTGAAGGGTCACTGGTGAAGAATCCGGTGCAACGACAGAATCCTTTGCTAGAGCAAGTGTTGAAACAGTGTGTGTTGGTGTGGATGGTTTAGGAGACTCGATTGCCCCTGAAGAGACAACCTCAGATGAAGAGACAGATTCCTGTGTTGTTAATGGTGCGGGGGCAAATGTTATACTTGAATTGCTTCTATTTACGTCTAAACTTGAAGAGCCTTTGTCTAAAGTAGCATTTAAACTACAACCTTTCATAGATGGAGACGAAATAGCCGCAGAATTTAAAAACGAAGTGGATGAAGACGTACTTGAAACAATTCGTACAGGGGATTGAATTACATTATCGGAAGATGTGTTTGTTGGTAATGTCAGAATGGATGAGACTGTCGCAACAGATTTTAAAGATGATGCAACTGTCAGAGACAATGAAGTTGCGCTTGAGCACTCTACACTAGACAACGACGTAGGCACTGTACTTGAAGCCGTTTGTGAAGTGGCGGATACCGAAATAACGGAAGGTGACCCTGTCGAAACTTGCTGACTTGCTGGGATTGCTGGATTAACACATGATTGCACAGAAGCACATGTAGCACTAAGAGTTTGTGGAACTAAAGAAGCAACAGTTAAAGGCATTGTAGATGTAATAGAGCAAGAGGTGCTTGAAGTAGTAGCTGATGATGTAATCTGTGCTGAAGATGCTAACTTTAACGTTGTTGTGGTTTGGACAGAGTTTTGCGATAGTGATGGTGTAGATGATACAGCATTTTGAACACTTGCCGAGCTTTGTACTGCTATGGCTGTTGTAGGCATGGTTGTTGAAGTTGTTTGACCTGCAAGAGCAGGAGTTGTTGCAGTTTGAGGGACGGCCTGCTGGGCAGCAGCAATCTTAGCTGCTTTATCTGCTTCTTCCTTTAATTCCTCCTTTCTTTTCTTCTCTTTCAAAGCACTGATCCTATTTGTAGTGTCCAGCAGTTTACGCTTCTTATTGACAAAAGTGTCCTTTGCATCTCCAGTAGGACGTTTCCTTTTTCGACACTGAAGCCCACTTGTCCAGACCCATCCACCACCACCAAACAAGCGGTACTCTTCACCTTTCTGTTTCCACACCTGATGATGTGGCATCCACGTGTAATTAACTGTTAAGAACGAAACAGTCATCAGTTACGAGAACAAAACAATGACAAAGTACCACGGTTTACTCAATTAAGTTTCACAAATACCGTCTTAAAAAGGATGTGAGTTATCAATAAACTTCCCACTTCCCTTACAAACACACCAAATGTGTCTCAAAAATTAATGCTGAAAGATGGGAACTAACACCTGGTTCAAGGGACCTTTAGAAATTTTTAAACTAGGAGATACGCAAGAATGAAATTGAACCATGCCAACAAGACTATATCTTTTGAAAAGTAGGTTTATGTACTAGGACATACCAAATCCCTTGCTTTCCAGTTCAGGTTCTTCTTCGTCTTCTTTGTGATCTTTCTTCTTGGGTCCTGTTTGACGAGCCTCGGACACAACACGATGTAGCTCCACATGACCTACTGCATCATTCCACACATTTAGATAGCAAATAGGCCTAATGGAACTCTGCAAAAATGACAGAGCTGCTGCAAACTCTTGTGGAGTTTTTGACATGTGAACTGCCCTCACCCATGTGGAGCGCTGAAGTGGCCAAGATGGATGCATAAAAGAAGTGGCAATAGAATTTTCAAGGCCAACTATAGAGAACCGCAAAGTGTTCAGAATGACTTCTTTACTTCCATTAACATCTCCTTGCCACTTGAACTCATTGAGACTAAACTTGTGGGTGACACTGCGCCTTTTGTCCCGTTGATCTAGATGTTGCTGTTTAGTCAGTGCAAGAGCATTGCTTGCAAACTGGTTGACATATGATGAGTAGTTGCCTTCTGAACCAAGTCTAAATACAGACTCTTCAACTTCTTGCTTTGTTTCACTGACTTCACTAGCTGTCCCACTTGCATTCACAGTGTTTCCTTTGGTGCCAATTACAGTGTCACTGGAAGAAACAGTGATTGACTGACCAGTACTCACCACTTGTTTACCTGAACTGCTATTTGCAATCAAAGGTGGAGTAATTCCTGCCTTAGTAAAATAATCACTCTTCACTGTCCCGCTAGTGTTGGTACTTGTAACATTGTCACTTACACTGCTGTTAGTCTCAGCATTTTGATCCTTGGGCAGTGAAGTTTCAAATTCTATTTTAGGTTTCACATCCAGCTTGGTGCTGGATGATTGTTCAGTTATGGCTTTTGTAGGGACATGTTCTTGTTTTGCAGTTGGATACTCTTTGCCATCAGCAGATGCTGTCATATCTGTGATTGTTTCACTCCCAGGGTTAGATGTCTCTTCATATGATTGGCCCTCCTCTTTCTTTTCTTGGTAAACATCTTTTTTGACAGCAGGAGCTGAAACACCCAACATATCAGCACCATACTCTTTACAGGAGTCCAGTTTTTTCTCGTCTTTCACCTCCTCATTACCCTGAGCTTCTTGAGCTGTGTCAGACGGGCCTGACACATTGGGGGCCCTCATCCTAAAATAAGGGCTATCTTGGGCTGCTGCAGACCTTCTGTCTCTCAACAGCATTTGTTTATCAGCACTAATATTACTGGAATTTTCAACTTGAGGCCGTGTAACAATCTTCTTTACCTCATCATCTGGAACAAATGTTAGGATGGCTGAGGCTGTCACAGGTTTTGATGAAGAAGGCATGTCATCAGTTACTGCTGAATAACTAGGTTTCCTTTCAGGCACCACTGAAAATGAAGCACAGTAGACATGATAAATTATAGTTAAAAAGGGCAATATTTTAACCTCTTCTAAAGAAGCACTGTCTCCTGTCAGAAAATGTCAGAATTAAAACCAGTCCAAAAACTTGTCGCTCCCTCCTCCTTCCTCCTAAATAATAAATAATAAAATTATCCGTTGGTTTTAAATACAGTATTGCTGTCAGTTACTCAATATCAAAATTTAATGTATGTTTCATTTCAACTATCACTGTTCCTGGTGACGGTCATTTTAAAGTGACATCTGTGTCACTGAATGTCTTAAAAAATAATATGAAAATAGATACTTTTTATTGACAGCAAAAAAACATATTTAATTCAGATTGCCACCATTCTCATTATGCACAGATTCACTTGAATTATTTTCCTCTTATTGGATCAACTCTGCAAAGGAAACAGTGATCCCAAGGCAGAAGACCCGATTTACACTGATTTACATTGCAAATAATTATCCTTTGTAAAACTCAAGATCCCATAATACCAACGCTGTACAAATACGTCAAAACAATATTGCACTACAAGCTTTGAAATACTCCACCCACCAGACATTGACCAAACTTTTCTTCTTTTATCTAAAAAAATTGAAGAACGTAACATTATCTTACCATAACTAGGGTTCTCCTCTGAGGTGTCCATCTGTTCATCTTCTTCTTCTTTATGTTCTTCTGGATCCACAGGTGAAGCAACTGAAGTTTGCTCCTTAACTTTCACTTTCAGTGGCCTTCTTTTGGTCAGTCCAGATGGGAGTTCCCCTAAAATTGACACAGGATTTTAAATTAGCATCCACTTTGATCCACATGCTAAATGCAAGATACTTGAATTCTTTCAAGATGTGTGCAAATCTTATATAACAAACAGTTTCAATTTATTTACATAATATCAAATTTCTTTTCTGTGTTTAATTAATTGTAGTAAAACCTGGTTTTATACATTAATCACTTGCCACTGAGGCTAAAATAAAAGTTTCTCTGAGCTCTCACCTCGTGCAGCCTCAATAAGAGACTCAGTTATTTCCATGTGCCGGACCATAACCTTGTACCTTGCTTTTATAACAGAAAGCAGCCTCTTTTCTTTACCATCTTCCTCCAAGGCTTTGATCAGGTCATCAAGATGTTCTTTGCAGCTGTAGTACAATGTCTCATCACTTCCTTCCCTAGTACATTGCAAATAAAATTTAAACAAAGTAAATTAAAGATCAGCAAGTAAACTTGACTTTTGAAGTACTACTGAGAGATGAGAATAGGAGGTCTTTGCTATGGTAAAGGCCTGAACATGCAATAAATACTATCCAATGGGTAAATGCTTAAACAACATAAAGCCTGGGCCCTGCAAAGGTTGAATCTGCAGAGACAGAGATTAATATGGAAAAATTGCTTTGATACAAAAAGAGAATAATTTTGAGTAAAATGCAAATGCCCATGACAATACCAACAAGTGATGCCACCTTCTATGGGTGCGTTTCACTGCCCTAATTCTGGAATGGGGATGCATTCTTGATTATTCTGGAACAGTCTATACCAATCAAACCAAGTTTCTGTTTTTAGAGTGATCTGCTAGTTTGTTTATTGAGTACAGTGTTACCTTAAAATTTATGTTACAAATATGGCATAGACATAACAACATTGACAGGTTGGAACAGATATGTTAAATTTTCAAAAAAAAAAATTGCATAAGGAGACACATAGTGTATTTTATTGTACCAAAGAGAAATTTTAGTAGGGCAAGTCGAACCATGAATATCAAAACACTTTTGCCTGCTTTTTGGCAATGCCAATCGCAGGCTTACTTCATAAGGAGGCTCATATATTTATTACAACTCTAGATGACTCACAACAGCACTTAAAAAGGTAGACATTTCTCTCCAATTCAAAAGCAGAGGCTCACAAGCAGTATGGGAAAAGCATATACTTTTCATAAATTACATCAAGGGACAAGTGCTTCGAAGTATGCAAGACAAGACAGCGTTTGACTCCACATACTTCTGGCCTGCAGTATGTGGCTTCATTGGTCTTGCAGAAGCTTTCCGGAGCTAATAGAGCATTTTCCACTGACCCCAGTCCTTGCTGTTAACTGTGTTAAATAAATTAAACTTCGTTCTAATAAACTGGACAGTAGACACCATCAAGTGCACACACTTGAATGTTTATTTTTTCACTTACTTTCAGAATATCTTTTCATAGAGCGCTTTCCATTTGTCAGAACTGACCGGACAGACCATTCTCGTCATCACGAGAATTTCCCTTTTAATCCGACTATCCAACCAGATCAGTCAAATCCTAAATAGTATGCAGGGAGGAGATGGTTTTTCAAAAAAAAAAAAAACACTCTTTAAAAAAAGCCTATTTCATTGTCAAAAATGACTGGTACGGCCGGCCAGTTCTGACTTTTGGAAAGCGTCCATAGTTATGATTAATTGGTAACAGAAATATGTTGCATCCAATTTGGTCTATAATCATACTATGATTAAACAAACCAGACTCCCATGCTTAGCCACCACAAGGCTGTGCTCTAGCAGAGCCCGGTGGCCCCAAGCGCCTAACTTTTGCTTAGAAAATCTTACTTTTTTCATACAAATCATATGCCGGGCACCCTAGATTTTACAAGTTCAGAGCACTGGGCTCCCTTCAATTTTCCTTAGAGCACAGCCTTGCACCATTAATTAAATAATCTTGAAGAAGTGGGCCCCAGGATGGAGGGGTTGTAAAATTGCATGTAAACATTTTTTTTTTTTACCCACCAGAGTGGGTTTCTTCACCTATCTGGGGTCCCCCACCTAAATGTAAACAGGCCCTTAGAGAGTTCCATCCTTAACACAATTTGCATACTGCCCTATAAACATAATTTTTGTGACATGAAATTGTAGCTAATTTGCAAAACTTGCCAAAGTGAATTTTTTTCGTTAAAAATAATCTCTGGTCTATAACCAAATGGTGGTTAACAAGAAAAAAATTGGTTGTCACAAAAAACATCATGCCATAAGGTCTTTGTCACACATGTGCTGAGATGCACAAACTTGCTGCAAAATAACAAAAATATGAATAATTTGTTTTCACCTCCATGTTGGATTCAATCTACTTACACAAACAAACGTCTGGCTAAAAACCAGTATTTTCTTCCTTCCCTGTCTACCCCTAAAGGGGTGTTTCTGAGCCATCCATCCCTGTTCCAATCAACTGAACAGTCCGTGACGCCTTTGAGCTGGTGCATCTCGCATATAGGACAGAGCCAATCCCCTTCGGGGACCACTTCTAGCGGTGGTTTGAGGCAGTGAAGATGGTAGACGGCAGGGCACTTTTCACAGCAGAGTAAATCACCCATTTTAGAACAGTTTCGACAATGATCCTCCGACTCGACCATTCCTTCGTTCATAACGTCGTACCTGACTGAGTTTGAAGCGAGAAATTGATCGCAAAGTCGCTGCAAAACCTTCAGCCTTTTTTCAACCGTTGTGAAAGGGAACGGGTCTTCGTTCTCGGTCACAATGACAGCTGACGATACATCTCCAAATTCGGTTTTATCGGACATAATGTAGCTTCGAATAACATCAGGCCAAGTAAAATCGCCAAGGCAGTACATAAGAATATTGAAACTGTCTTTCTCGTCGCTCGCTACAGATGTCAAACCACTAGCATCATCCTCCGACAAAAGAAAGCGAAGCAAAGAGAGGTGTATTTGTGCAAGCAAAGAAGACTGGTCTGGCGACTTCATTGCTCCGCAGAAGTCTTCAAACCTAAATGGAGAAAGCCGAATTATCCGGCTGAAATGCCTAAGGATCTCATAAATACCTAAAGCTTGTAAAATATATTCTGGGTTGAGTAAAAGATCATCTGATGAAGGAGCTAACTTGACTGGCGACACGGTTTTAAGCGGCTCAACATAGCGAATTTTCGTGTATGCAGAGCTTGAAAGCAAAGAACTACGACTAGAAACTGAGTCATCATCACTTTCCGAGTCTGACGATTCCATTCCGTAGTATTTCCTTGGTGTAGTTGAACTATAACCTCGGGTTTTAATGCCATGAGGAGAAGAGACACGAGGAGTCGCATGGCCGCCATGTTGGTTGGTTGCACTCGAGACATTCGGCGTTTTGGCATTTTGAGACTGATATTTGGGGGGTCTGCCCCGTCCTCGCTTCATTTTTTCGATTATTTGATTAGCCTGATACCATAACACATGAATAAAGTGCCTTTAGCTTTCTCCCATTAGCTTTTAGTGTTATTTTCCCCATTTTCTCCTTGCCTCACTTTTGAGAAGCCATTTTTACTTCGCGGGGAAAGAGCGACTCTTAGGTCACGTGACCCTCCCAAAATGCAATATGCATATTGAAAATTTTAATAGCCTGAGCTGTTTGATTAAAAGATTATAGCGATATTTCATATAATTTTTCTTGCAGGATATATGCTTAAGAATTCTAAGTATAAGAAAGCAGTTACAAAAGGTCAAGGCTAAGAAAAAAATCAAAGAACCTCTTCCTTTATCACTCTATTGAATTTGCCATACCCATAATGCTTTGCAAACTTATTTCCTTCTCTTTTTCCAAGATGGCGGCGTCTCCAGCACTTTCGATGTACCGTCTGCCGCCTTACTATGAGACTACATCAGTTCCGCTTCCTAAATGCATGTATACTTTACCGTCCTACGTTCAAACAAGTTCAGAGATGGTGGTGAGTCATGTTAGTTTATTTATCTATCGACGATTTTTGTTCTAGGCTGTTTTTCAGTTGTCACGTGTACTGCCATTCAATGTGTATCAAACACGCAGTGACTCTAATTTCTTTTAAGGAAGCCCGATCACCGCAATCACAACCGCTTCTTAACAGCTTAGAAACAAGACAAGAAAATATTCTTTGTGAACTGAGTGGGCTTAGAGCTGAAGTTGAAGAAATGGCCTCTAACCTTGGAGTGTCTCTTCCGCAACCTAGAGTGAAAGTGAGAAAGCACTTACCTTAATTTTAATTTTATCTTTATAATAAACATATAACATCATATCTGAATGAGAATATCTTTTAAAAAGGTAAAGAGGCCTAATTTAGGTTGTAATAGCCATCATGTGACTAAGAAACCTAACAAACCAGCTGCAGTCAATGGTGAAGCAGTCACTCATTTTACCCCCTCTCTCCATCAGGGCTACAATCCCAGACAGAATTTGTTGAAACACATCCGGAAACACAAGATTAACTAAATCTTTTAATGAATACACATATTTTTGTCCTCTTTTCCCCGCCAGTGTTGGCATAAACGTCTTTGAAAATCAACATTAGAGGGGAAGGGGATAAGAAAATACAAGCATTTAAACAATGACTAAGAAGCAGGGCTTCTGATATTGTGAAATTCAGATAAATCCACGAAATTCACAAAACATGCAAAATACCACAAAATTCACCAGAAATCTTATCGAATACACGTCTGTACAATAAAGCATTTAAACAATGACTAAGAAGCAGGGCTTCTGATATTGTGAAATTCAGATAAATCCACGAAATTCACAAAACATGCAAAATACCACAAAATTCACCAGAAATCTTATCGAATACACGTCTGTACAATATATTTGAAACTTATCCCAGCTACAGGGGCTGTTTACTTGCTGTAAATGTGCAAATTTATCTTGAAACTTTGTTAATGAAACAAGCAAACAACGTCCTGAAACTACCAGGCATAGATTATTTTGCCAAAAACTGGGCACTAGCCATGATCTTACGGTCAAACTGGAAAAACCATGAACATTCATACATACGTACAACTTTATTTAAACCCAGTAAAATCTTTCAGTAATGTACAAAGTTACAAATAGATATTTTCGTTAAAAAATATATTTGGTGCACTTAACTTACTGTTTTTAAAGATTGCCGGGTGGGAAACTGATGATTGCATCCATCAATTAATTTCCCTTTTTTATTGCCCGATTGATTTGATGTTTTTAACATATTCTGGTAAAGAATTCCATAATTTGGTCCCACTATAGCCTAAGCTTCACTTTAGCTACCCTAATGGCATTATTTATCTCATTTTGCACGTCCGTATAGTGTTGCCAAGTCATTTTTGACAATTATTGCTTTTCTCTTTCAAATTCCAGAAATATTTCTGAAATGTTATTGTCTTGCAAGAAAAAAACCAATGAGATGTGAGAAACTGAACTGCAAGCAAGAATATTAATTAGTTTGTGGTTTTGTGGCTAATTGGCATGTCCTAATCTTTGCCATAATTATTATAAAATTAATGGTCATAACACAATAAACATTCTTGAGATATTTCAAGTGTTCACGGTTTTCCCGGCAGCACTGTTAAGGCTTTGCCATTGGTTCATTTCTGGAGCGTATTGTTGTTGAAAGAGCAAATGATGACTTCTGTTAAGAAAATGTTAAAAACACTGGTCTCATCAGCACAAAACCGATCGATTTCTAGCAAAATTTGAGCTGAAAATTCCAAAAAAAATGGCTGTTTTTTTCTGATTGCTTTTCGATGAAGTTTGCTTCAAAGATTCTAATGAAATCAGCTGATTTTTCCTCAAATTTGCTCCTTTGTGACTTTTTTCCACGACTTATCAGAAGCCCTGAAGAATGTATTTCCCTTTCATGGGTATTTAAAGCTACTTAAAGCTACAGGGTAAGAAGAAAAGAAAGGATTTGAGGTTGCAATATTATTGCAAATCCAACTCAGAACCTCTCCTACAGAAGGCTGTGCAATAAACATTTTCGCTAGTTCTTTCTCCTTTGTTCTTTTAGACAGATTTCCTAAGATATTCTCATCTGTGGGATACAATAATATGGAATACAATATCTGCTTCTTTTTTAAGGCAATTCCAAGTACCCAAGACTTTGTTTTATCAGCTTCACCAGCAGACCCACCACTTATCATCTGCACCTTGCAGCATATCATGAAGCAAAGAAAAAATCCTCACTCTACAGCCAGCCATGTTCACTCATCTGTTCAAGGGCCAATTCCTGAATTTGTTAAAACACATTTTCAGAACTTCACCTCATCCACTGAAGAAATTGGCCGAGCATCAGTAATTTTAACAATTGTTTGGAAAAAAGGTTGGTACTTGGATTTATTTATTGGAAGCTCATGATTTTTTTAATTTTAATTAGGTATAATTAGGTGAAAACCATTGTTGGTTAGCTATTGTTGTATGGTGTGGAACCTACCTTGATAAGTGGCACACATAAGTGGCTGTTGGACACTCACACGTCTGGAGCCATGTAGACAGTAACTGGGTGAGATGAGGGTATTGTGGGTAACAGTTTTACAGTTAAAGCCATTATTGACTTTTGTGTTCATACATTTAACCTAGAGTTTCCAAAGGAGCAGGCAGCAGGACTCAGAGTAAAAAACCCTCCATGGGAGAAGGTCATTGGGTTTCTCTCTAGGATTTTGGGAGGGCCAAGGGTGTTCTGACTGTGATTTTCACATGAAGCCCTCAATAGCCTGTGTAAAAATTAAGGGCATGTTCAATTGACTGTGTTCAAGAATAAGGACACAGACTCAAAAAATCACTTGTTTTTGGCTTTTGTTTCATTCTAGAACATTTGTGAAAACTAATAAATTGAATGACATAGTACTCCAGAGAACCCAAAAATCTGTGATCAAAGAGATTTGTCACAAATTTCTGCACAGTCTTTACTCCAGAATACAATCAATTGAATGCTTCCTAATAAAAACTTGGTGTCTTTGGTTGTGATTTCTACACAACTTACCTATCATACCCTTTTCATTCCCATAAACCACAAAAAGTCCTCCAGCCATGTGGGATCAAAACATGATTTTTGGTGTTTGGAATTAATTGATTTAGGGAGATTTGGTGGCTAAAATAATTGACTGGACTTCTTCCACCAGATTTCCATTACTTATCTGTCCCTTTTACACATTAAAAAAAGAACTCAGTTTCCTTTGAGAACCCTTTTGTCATCTTTTAACTGAGTACCTAATTCTAGCTTCCTTTGGGTTAATTCTTTGGTTTTGAAGCCAGCCAGCAACAATTTTCCAGTAAATTAAGCCAGGTGGCCTTCCAGCCTTAAACTCCTTGGGAGAACACTGAGTCATGGATAATTATTTGAAAAGAAACAATGCAATGAAGTTGGGGGGTATAGGGGTTAGTTTGCAATGTTTGCTTCTGTTTTTGGTTTTGCTGCATTTGTTCAATTTATTTTCACTAAGTTATAAAATATGTGCTAATGTATGCTAAAATCAGCAAATTTCTGAGCACAGCAATTTTGTTTCATTTTTCTGTTTTTCTCATTTGTAAATTATTCAAAAACTTATGTCAGACTCATGTCAGGCTGAACATATTGTGTGCCTCTGTCCACGTAGCTCATATATCAAAATCTCACTTGTAAGATGTTTACTAAAAACCTATCTGTGCACTTTGCCATGGTTATTAAAAATCTGAATATATAAATCATATAAACCATAATCCATAGTGTTTACAAGATTAATGATAATTGCATTTTACACTGTGGATACACTGTAAATAAGATCTTTTCGAAAAAATAAACAAAAGGAAAAATGGAGAGAACAGAATAAATCTTGCTGTTGAATTTCTTTATCTTAATTTCGTTTGTTTTTCTTTTTAGAAAAAGGTCTGCCCTATCTCGTTGCATCACCCTGTTCTCACACTCCTCTGACTGGTGAAATAACCATTGCTCGCTTTCTTTGCCGTGTTCTCCTACCAGACTTATATGGAAACTTGTCCCCTGAAGAGTCTGCAAGTGTTGATAGCTGGATTGACCAATCATTAGCAGGTAGTAAAGCCCGAGCTGCTGCTATAAAAAGTCTTGAGGCTAAGCTTGGAAAGCAACAGTGGATTTTGGGAAGTAAAATGAGCCTTGCTGATGTTGTTCTCGCTTGCTGTACTGTGAAGGAGAACGGTGTTAAATCTGTGTCCAGCAATGTCAGCAAGTGGTTGAAAAGAATTCCTGGCCTAATCACATGTTAATACAGAGATTTAGTATCTCATTTAAGGCAAATGGTAATTAATGTCCAATTGTGTCACTTACCAAGTTTTACATTACTTTCCAATTACTGGGCATTATTTCTACACAAAAATTAGCAGTTCATACTAGTTTAATCCTTAAGATTTTTTCAGGCAGTTTTAATCAGTTTATTTACTAATTTGCAATTGTCAACTTTGCCATTTGCCATAAATCTGATTCTAAATCTGTCCAATAATAATCTGTATTTAGTTATTTAAGCGCTGAGTACTGTGCTTGAATTTCTGAAATTCAGCAGCCTGCAACAATGAATTGCATCATTTTCATTTAATATTTTTGCAGTCAGTGACTGTGATCCCTGTCAAGATGTGCTGATGCTTGAGTTCAATAATTGTCTTGCCCAGTAATAATATTATTTCTGAACAGTACATGCCAACAATTATTCAAGAACATGTTAACTGATCACTTCGGTTAACTTACCAACCAGTGTAGTAAATGACAAAAAAAGTTCAGTTTTTCTTCTTAGCTTTACACCAAGTTTGAACCTATGCACCGTGTAAAAACAACTTAATACACACAGTCAGTGTATGCAAGTTGAGACAGAGCAATTGGACCATGAGTCAGCCAAATGGCCCCCCCTACTCACTGTGTCTGCTATCAGACTAGAACAGTAGTTTGAATATAAGCATTCCATTTGAATGCCCACTCAGAACATTAATGAAATTGAACTATTATTTTGTAATGTGCCATTGTAGACAAGTGTAGTGGTGGTTTTTGGCAGTTATCATAACTTAGATTGTACAAAGCTTTTTTAGCCTGTCATCTAAACCTGATAAAGAATAGACCTCTTTAGTTTGTATGTTTTGTTCTCCCAATAAAGGTCCCAGGGAAATTTTGACCCTTTGTCTTTTCATGAATTATGTGTACGTATGCACTTGAATAAGATGAAATTTAAAAGAAACAGTTCCTAGAGTATTATCACATGACCTGTATTGGGAAAACAAAATATGCAGTCTAAAGATTAGAGGTCTGTTGCATGATTCTTATGACCATAAAAAGTTTACAATAAAAATGTAGTAAAGAGCAATGACATCACTGAAAATTTTTTGAGTTGTAATACGACAAATTATTCGATTTGCACCAATTCATATTGAATTCCATACAGTAGGAAACGCAATATTCCGTGCACTCTTTTAGGCCGAGTTTGATCAAAACACTCAGGCTCAGTTTCAATGATTTTTTTAAAAATTACAAAAAAGATTTGATTAGAAATGGTAATTTTTCACTTTTTATCAGTTTACATGGAGGTGGGGGACCACAGGTAGGTGAGGTAACCTGCCAAGGTGGGGTAACCCTAGACTTTCTCAAAATCTTTCGCTTCTCATTTCCAGTTCCGGTAGTTGGCCCCAGGGCAAAGAGAGCTCGCTTTTGCCGCAGAAGACATGAAAAATCTACCGCTCGCACTTCGCGCTCGCGAAAAGAATTGAGGTGGACTTGTAGGCAAGTCTAGGGTAACTCGCCTGTCCATACAATCTCTCATTTTAAGGTGGCTCGACTGGATTTTTTAGCGGGGGATACCTCCCAAGTTTCAGCATTAACTACGTCGGCATGAGTAAAGATATGGGAAAAAGGTTACCACAACTGAATTATATAAAGATGAAAATTTCTTATGGTCTGGGTTTTATTGCAATTCGGAGTCACCATGGCAACGTAAGGACGCCAGTACATTTTTTTATTTACTTTGTGTTTCTCTGTACTTGGAATTTTTTTAAGAAAGCGCTTACGGCACAATGTACCTGCCATAATTGCCTCAATTATGGCAAAGTTTGAACAAATTCTATGAGCGTTTTGGAAATATTTTGAAACAAAGTTTTAAGAATCATAAAAACAGTGAAATAGCATGCTATCCACACAATTAGCTAATATTTTAAGAAAATGATAAGCTTTGGAAACACGGCTTCATCGCATAGTGGTTTGACCCCATTGAAAGCTGCACACAAAAAAAGAGGGGAATTGCTCCGTTGCGATCGCGACTTAGAAGAATTTTATTAACCTAGATTCAGCTGCTTTTGTTACAGTTTTTGCACGTAATTTGGTCCATGCCTACAATTTTCGCATTATTCAAAAAAAACGCGGGATAAATTTTGTTTATGCGCTTGACAATCCCGAGATCAATTGTCAATAAATATACCCTGTAAGTCTCAAAAACATTGAAACCAGGGAAAACTTTTAAATAGGGCCTCAAATATAACCAATTTTTCCCACAGATTTTGTGTTTACAAGTGAGCGTCCTCATTATTCACTGGCACTGTTTTCAAGTTTCAAATGCACGTGCACAAATACCAAAAAAAATAAATTTGCATCAAAAAGAACTCTCGATTACTTGCCGAAGAAATGTCCGGAATATGACCAGGGGACTAAGGGTGAACCAGTAGTTTTACCAATTTCTTTCTCTTAGCTGTTCCTCTCGTTAAGTCTAGGTAATTAGAAGTGGTATGATCGCTTTTTAAAGATTTAAAAAATTCTAGTTTTTGAGAGTGGTGAAGGGTGTTTTGCTAATATGTTATATATTCTTGTTTTATTAAACCAACGAAGTTTTTTACTATAGCGGTACTGCCTAACAAATCAGTGTCGAAGTCAGCTGGGTTAAAATATTCTGACATCTCCATCGATTGAGAGAGAAAGCTACTCTTACCATTGCATTATAAATCAAATGACATTAAAAAAGTTTGCTTCACGAAGGATTCTTCATCTTCAGACTGAATATATAAAGTGAAGTTGAAGATTTTGTATTGAAAGTGATATTTAAAGGTAAGCGACCAAGTTCAGCTCTTCAAGCAACATTAGAAGCCTTGTTGTTTACCTCTAAGTAACGTTTGCAAAATTGGAGGTGTGTCTTCGATTTGTGAGCTGTCCCAGGTCTTAAAATCTGGTTTGGCTTACACAACCCTAGCCTACCCGCAGACTACCCTACCCTACCCTTCTGCGGGGCGGCTAACACGCCCCCAGCGAAGTTCAGCATTTTTCTTGGCACGTTTCTGAAAGACCATAATCTTAGTTTTCTTGAGATTGATTTTCATCGTCCACGAAGTACATTAGGAAGACAACTTATGAAGGCAATTTTGTAATCCTATTTTGTATCGTGATATTATGATTAAATGACTAAGGGTGGACACGGTGAGAGAGAATAAATAAATAACTAAATACCGATTATAAGCCTCCCCCCCCATTTGTAGAACCATCTACCCGTAAACAAAAAAAATCACCCCCCCCCCTTCCCGAATAAAAGGCCCCCCTGTAGCTTCTATTGAAATGAATTCAAATTTTTATGACGTTTTGAAGCTTAAAAAGCGGACATTTTTAAAAAGTATTTTGATCAGCTCTGCTGTGTTGTAGCTTGTTTTAAAACGCTTTGTTTAGTACGAGGTACAAGGATGCGAAAAGGTACAGTTTAAACCGCAGAGAATAGCTGTAGATTTGAATGGTCCTGATAACAGGTCGTTGTTCAGCAGGTAAGCGGGGGACAGCGCTGCACTATTTTGATAATCTTTCGGCCGGAAACCAGCCCAAGACTAACTTAAACACTACCATATTAGGATCATATTAGGATCTCTTAGACTTTGTCTCTACTAAAGGATTATTATTTCGTCGTCATATTTTTTCAACATATCCCTGGAGCCTTGATGATTCAAACAGATAACTCATTTGGTTTGGTTTGATTTGTTTTTCCTTTTTTGTCACGTTACAGGTTGTTTGTAGAATTGAGATAAAATTGATGAGAAAGCATGAACCGAAAGCCTGGGTTCTATATATGGACAACATCAGAGAAGAAAAGACACAACATCGAATATGTAGATTTCCTTTTAATGATTATTAAATGAATCTACGTCTATTACGTCTTTACAAATATTTGTACATAACAAGTTCTTTCTTTTTTCTTTTTCCCTCTCTCTTTTCAGGAAGTACAAGAATCAACATATAGTACATGTCACTCGCGGTAATGAGTGTTGAGTTAGATACAAGTTTTCATAATAGTCTCCAAAAGTATACAATTTTCGTTTCCAGAACTTACATAAATTTATGGCATACGAATGCTGCAATTTTTTTTTACTTTCTGTCCTTCTATACACTGAGCTCCTGGCAACTTACCCTTGGTTACATGAACCTTGTAAGATGTTAATCAGTGCTAACTTGATTAAAAGAAACAGAGTGGGATTTTGCAAAGAATCATGCGAGGGCTTATGAATTTAAAACTTACACTCCAAACATATTCAGGCTCAACCGCCTGATACCCAGGACAGACTTCTTCATAACGATGCACTGCTCGCTAATTTAATCCTCTAATGGAACATTTCTAAAGAGGTATCCCATTGATTCCCCATTGTGAATTCTGCGAATTGCTTCAGCCAATAGTGAGCTGATATCCACAGTCCTGATCTTACTGCAGCGTGACATCTTAGAGTCGTGTGACACAGTGTTGGTAACTACAACCTGACAGGAATATTCAAAGAATATACGTAACTCCTGAGTTCTTCTCAGCTTTTACTCATGTTGAAGGACGGGTTATGTACTACGTAGGGAGGTAGCGGGTGCATAGCCTGCGATCAGGCTCACTTGTGCGAGTTCGGGGACATTATGAAATTTTTCAAGAATGGGACGATAAAAGTCACTTTTTCTCGCCCCACGCTGGATGGCTTCGAGCGCGTGCGCCAGCAGCTCCGCCGCCAAAATTTCCCGGACCTTGCAAAAGTAAGCGTTTTCGCAGGTTAGGGGGTGCATTTTGGCAAGGATGGGGATATAGAGAGCTGGGATAGGATCTGTCTGAGTGCAATAGATTCGGTAATTCTCTCATTATTTCTGAACAGTACATGCCAACAATTATTCAAGAACATGTTAACTGATCACTTCGGTTAACTTACCAACCAGTGTAGTAAATGACAAAAAAAGTTCAGTTTTTCTTCTTAGCTTTACACCAAGTTTGAGCCTATGCACCGTGTAAAAACAACTTAAGACACACAGTCAGTGTATGCAAGTTGGGACAGAGCAGTTGGACCATGAGTCAGCCAAATGGCCCCAGGTTATAATGCACTTCGCCATTGTACTGTACTCACTGTGTCTGCTATCAGACTAGAACAGTATTTTGAATATAAGCATTCCATTTGAATGCCCACTCAGAGCCTTAATCAAATTGAACTAATATTTTTTTCATGTGCCATTGTAGACAAGTGTAGTGGCGGTTTTTGGCAGTTAACATAACTTAGATTGTACAAAGCTTTTTTAGCCTGTCATCTGAACCTGATAAAGAATAGACCTCTTTAGCTTGTATGTTTTGTTCTCCCAATAGAGGTCCCAGGGAAATTTTGACCCTTTGTCTTTTCATGAATTATGTGTACGTATGCACTTGAATAAGATGAAATTTGAAAGAAACAGTTCCGTAGAGTATTATCACACGACCTGTATTGGGAAAACAAAACATACAGTTTAAAGATTAGAGGTCTGTTGCACGATTCTTATGACCATAAAGAGTTTACAATAAAGAGCAATGACATCACTGAAAATTTTTTGAGTTGTAATATGACAAATAATTTTACAGTCCATTCGCTTTGCACCAATGTTCGCACAAATTCCATACAATAGGAAACGCAATATTCCGTGCACCCATTCAGGCCGAGTTTGATGAAAACACTCAGGCTCAGTTTCAATGATTTTTTTTTAAATTACAAAAAAGATTTGATTAGAAATGGTAATTTATCACTTTTTACCAGTTTACATGGAGGTGGGGAACCACAGGTAGGTGAGGTAACCTGCCAAGGTGGGATAACCCTAGACGTTCTTAAAATCTTTCGCTTCTCATTTCCGGTTCCGGTAGTTGGCCCCAGGGCGAAGAGAGCTCGCTTTTGCCGCAGAAGACATAAAAAATCTACCGCTCGCGCCTCGGGCTCGTGAAAAGTATTGAGGTGGACTTGTAGGCAAGTCTAGGGTAACTCGCCTGTCCATACAATCTCTCATTTTAAGGTGGCTCAACTGGATTTTTTAGGGGGGATACCTCCCAACTTTCGGCATTAACTACATCGGCATGAGCAAAGATATGGGAAAAAGGTTACCACAACTGTATTATATAAAGATGAAAACTTCTTATGGTCTGGGTTTTATTGCAATTCGGAGTCACCATAGCAACGTAAAGACGCCAGTACGTTTTTTATTTATCTTTGTGTTTCTCTGTACTTGGAATTTTTTTAAGAAATCGCTTACGGCACAATGTACCTGCCATAATTGGCTCAATTATGGCAAAGTTTGAACAAATTCTATGAGAGCGTTTTGGAAATATTTTGAAACAAAGTTTTAAGAATCATAAAAACAGTGAAATAGCATGCTATCCACACAATTAGCTAATATTTTAAGAAAATGATAAGATTGGAAACACGGCTTCATCGCATAATGCTTTGAGCCCATTGAAAACTGCGCACAAAAAAAGAGGGGAATTACTCTGGGCGATCGCGACTTAGAAGAATTTTATTAACCTAGATTCAGCTGCTTTTGTTACAGTTTTTGCACGTAATTTGGTCCCTGTCTACAATTTTTCGCATTATTCCAAAAAACGCTAGATAAATTTTGTTTATACGCATGACAATCCCGAGATCAATTGTCAATAAATATACCCTGTAAGTTTCAAAAACGTTGAAAACAGGGACGGGCTTATAAATAGGGACTCAAATATAACCAATTTTTCCCCCAGATTTTGTGTCTACAAGTGAGCGTCCCTATTATTCACTGGCACTGTTTTCAAGTTTCAAATGCACGTGCACAACTAGCAAAAGAAATAAATTTGTATAAAAAAGAACTCGCGATTGCTTTGCCAAGAAATGACCGGAATATGACGAGGGGACTAAGGGTGGATCCGGTGAGGGGGAGCGCCCAGGGGACTAAAGGTGGACCCGGTGATAATGAAGTTCTATCATTATCAATTTCTTTCTCTCAGCTGTTCCTCTAGTTAAGTCTAGGTAATTAGAAGTGGTATGATCGCTTTTTAAAGATTTAAAAAATTCTAGTTTTTGAGAGTGGTGAAGGGTGTTTTGCTAATATGTTATATATTCTTGTTTTATTAAAACAACGAAGTCTTTTACTATAGCGGTACTGCCTAACAAATCAGTGTTGAAGTCAGGTAGGTTAAAATATTCTGACATCTCCATCGATCGAGAGTGAAAGCTACTCTTACCATTACATTATAAATCAAATGACATTTCAAAAGATTGCTTAACGAAGGATTCTTCATCTTCAGACTGAATATATAAAGTGTAGTTGAGGATTTTTTACTGATAGTGATATTTAAAGGTAAGCGACCAAGTTCAGCTCTACAAGCAACATTAGAAGCCTTGTTGTTTACCTGTAAGTAACGTTTGTAAAATTGGAGGTGTGTCTTCGATTTGTGAGCTGTCCCGGGTCTTAAAGTCTGGTTTGGCGTACACATCCCTAGCCTACCCGCAGACGTCCTTTAGCGAACGAACCCCAAAGGACGTCTGCGGGGCGGCTAACACACCCCTAGCGAAGTTCAGCAATTTTCTTGGCACGTTTCTGAAAGACCATAATCTTAGTTTTCTTGAGATTGATTTTCATCGTCCACGAAGTACATTAGGAAGACAACTTATGAAGGCAATTTTGTAATCCCATTTTGTATTGTGATATTATGATTAAATGACTAAGGGTGGACACGGTGAGAGAGAATAAATAAATAACTAAATACCGATTATAAGCCCACCCCCATTTGTAGAACCAGCTACCAGTAAACAAAAAAAAAATCACCCCCCTTCCCGAATAAAAGGCCCCCCTGTAGCTTGTATCGAAATGAATTCGAATTTTTATGACGTTTTGAAGCTTAAAAAGCAGACATTTTTAAAAAGTATTTTGATCAGCTCTGCTGTGTTGTAGCTTGTTTCAAAACGCTTTGTTTAATACGAGGGAGAAGGATGCTAAAAGGTACAGTTTAAACCGCAGAGAATAGCTGTAGATTTGAATGGTCCTGATAACAGGTCGTTGTTCAGCAGGTAAGCGGGGGACAGCGCTGCACTATTTTGATAATCTTTCGGCCGGAAATCAGCCCAAGACTGACGTAAACACTACCATGTTAGGATCATATTAGGATCTCTTAGACTTTGACTCTACTAAAGGATTATTATTTCGTCGTCATATTTTTTCAACAAATCCCTGGAGCCTTTGATGATTCATAATGGTAATTGAACTGAGTGGAGTGCGATTTAAAACAGAAATGACGCGATTTAGAACATGAATGACGCGATTTGGAACAGATGCGATTTAGAGCAAAAAATGGTGCGATTTAGGAATAAATCACACTGCTGAGAGCCAATCAGATTGCACGGATAGCCAGTGATTTCAAAGTGGATGTAATAAAAACAGATAACTCATTTGGTTTGGTTTGATTTGTTTTTGTTTTTCTTTTTTTGTCACGTGACAGGTTGTTTGTAGAATTGAGATAAAATTGATGAGAAAGCAAGAACTGAAAGCCTGGGTTCTATATAGGGTCCAGGCTTCCCCTGGATTAGTTTAAGTGGACAACATAAGAGAAGAAAAGACACAACATCGAATATGTAGATTTCCTTTTAATGAGTATTAAATGAATCTACGTCTATTGGTCTTTACAAATATTTGTACATAACAAGTTCTTTCTTTTTTCTTTTTCTCTCTCTCTTTTCAGGAAGTACAAGAATCAACATATAGTACATGTCACTCGCGGTAATGAGTGTTGTGTTAGATACAAGTTTTCATAATAGTCTCCAAAGGTATACAATTTTCGTTTCCAGAACTTCCATAAATTTATGACATACGAATGCTGCCATTTTTCTTTACTTTCTGTCCTTCTATACACTGAGCTCCTGGCAACTTACCCTTGGTTACATGAACCTTGTAAGACGTTAATCAGTGCTAACTTGATTAAAAGAAACAGAGTGCGATTTTGCAAAGAAACATGCGAGAGGCTTGTGAATATAAAACTTACACTCCAAACATATTCAGGCTCAACCGCCTGATACCCAGGACAGACGTCTGCATAACGATGCACTGCTCGCTAATTTAATCCTCTAATGGAACATTTCTAAAGAGGTATCCCATTGATTCCCCATTGTGAATTCTGCGAATGGCTTCAGCCAATAGTGAGCTGATATCCACAGTCCTGATCTTACTGCAGCGTGACATCTTAGAGTCGTGAGACACAGTGTTGGTAACTACAACCTGACAGGAATATTCAAAGAATATACATAACTCCTGAGTTCTTCTCAGCTTTTACTCATGTTGAAGGACGGGTTATGTACTACGTAGGGAGGTAGCGGGTGCATAGCCTGTGATCAGGCTCACTTGTGCGAGTTCGGGGACATTGTGAAATTTTTCAAGAATGGGACGATAAAAGTCACTTTTTCTCGCCCCACGCTGGATGGCTTCGAGCGCGTGCGCCAGCAGCTTCGCCGCCAAAATTTCCCGGACCTTGCAAAAGTAAGCGTTTTCGCAGGTTAGGGGGTGCATTTTGGCAAGGATGGGGATATAGAGAGCTGGGATAGGATCTGTCTGAGTGCAATAGATTCGGTAATTCTCTCGGTTTTCATATAAATAACTTAAGCTTTTGATCTTGTTTACTGTGGGTAATGTCCACCGAGATATCGGTCGACATAGCGGTCGATATAGCGGTCGACAGTCGGTCGACCGTCGGTCGATAGTCGGTCGACAGTCGGTCGATAGTCGGTCGATAGTCGGTCGATGGTCGGTCGATGGTCGGTCGATAGTCGGTCGATGGTCGGTCGATAGTTGGTCGATAGTCGGTCGATAGTCGGTCGACAGTCGGTCGATAGTGAGATAGACTATCGGCCGAGTATCGGTCGATATTTCGACGACGCACCTCGACTTGCTATCGGTCATATGTCGGTGATATATCGGTCAACTGTCGGTGGTATATCAGTCAACTGTCGGTGGTATATCGGTAAACTGTCAGTGGTATATCGGTCAACTGTCGGTGGTATATCGGTTAACTGTCGTTCGAATAACAGTCGTGTGTTAATTTATCAGGTGAGTCCAATGGCTTTTTTTTAAGCAAAGACGTCATTAATTACTGTTCATGACATGCTTTAAGAGCAAGGAATACACATCTTTTATTATCGGGCTTTGACCTGCTTCATCACGCCAAGTTCTCGTTTGTGCAGAGACCACAAATTAAACTTATATATTTCTGTATTGAAGACGGGAACAGTCCTTTGTTTAACGATCAGTTATTGATAAAACGCGCTGATAATGTGCCGAGGAAGGTGACAAAAATATCCAGCAGACTGAACACATTCATTTATTGTGGGATACGCTACGTTCTCATTACATTATCCTGTCCTTTTGCTCTGTCCTTTCGCTTTATATTTA